TGTATTGGTTCGGCTTGTGAACTATTGAATGTTTCTAAAACAGTGCGAAGAAAGTATCACTGATTAACGATGCATTCACTGCAATGGTGGAGGTTTGGAATTGTTTTCTGTGGAGTCATGACCTTTTTTGTTAAAAAAAAGGCTACATTTCCTCCCACGCTCTGGTTCTTTTGGTCATTACCCGACTGTGACGGACTGTGAGGATAGTCGAAAAATATCAAAGTTTCCGAAACACCAACTCGGGCAACTGGTTTTGTTGCACAATTAGCCTCAAAGGTGACAACGGACGCCAAACTAATATTTTCTGTCCATATAATCTGATAATTATCAAGTGCATGCACCACAATTCTGCTCGTTGTACACTCAGAATTATAAAGTGTCCCACTGTACATGTATTGCATTTTTTCATAGCATTTGATTGTTTTGATTAAAAAGAAACAGAACATGTCAAAAATCATTCCTTGACATGCTGAGACCAAAAACATGTGTGAATTAGAATTTTACGCAGCTGTGTTTATGGTAACTGTGCAGTTATAATGCTGAGGTAGTAACCTTATAATCCTTTAAAGATGTCAAGTGTTATGAATCAAAAATTGCCATAATACCCTTTGAGCCTCAAGTTAACCATCAATGCTGTCTTACAGGGGAGCACAAGAAACAAACAGTCATCACTTAACAAGCACAACAAAATGTGGTTTTAAGGGGAAAAATGTAATGCAAACGATATGACCTATAAAGAGATAGATAATGCAGCACGCCTGGGGAAATAATGCTAACATTGCCATAAAGTTCAGAGCACCCATTGCTCTGGATAGTATGATATGTCTAGTGACTAGCTCAGTGGTTTGCACCAGCTGCTTTGCTTTGTTGAAATATGCAACCTCATACAGTTTGCTTGGCCAAGTAAATTACTGAGGTTTTTGCAAATAAACCCTGTTTCAAACGCTGAAACGTGATCAAAACAATAATAATCTTTGCGGTTATTTAACGCCTTTCACATCGGGAAGACATCTCAAAACCGCTCGACAGGATTTACTGTAAAGTGTAGTGACTGCGTATTTAGTAGGCAAATGCAACAGCCAATCTTATCTGGGGAATTGTTTGCCAGGATACAGGGAGAAACTCTTCTCTTTTTGAATGCAGTACTGCCAATAGACCTTTAACTTCCACCTCAACAGTAACAAAATGTCAGCATACAAGTCTGTTCCATTTATCATCCTAATCTGATTTACAAATCTATTACTACTCAATGTGTATTGTCATCCTGACATTTCAATGAGGCAAATTGCTGTCAGACCACAGGAATTGTGTTGGCATGGAATCTATACTCTTAAACAGTTTCATCCTCAGCTCATTTATTTCTTGAGTCCAGAATACATGTATAATTTATTTGGAATATGTGATGCTGTAATAAAATACAAGTTTACGAAGCTACGAGATTTTGAGTGTTCTCACACGTCAGAAATGTGAGGTGTTTACTCTGAAATGTGATCCTTCAACCAGTAATGTTGAAACCTTTGTGATATTAATAATAATCCTTGCATTTAATATTGTGCTTTCCACATCTTCTAGATGTTTCAAGGCCCTTCACAGAAGCTGTGGAGTGAATTGACTGTATATTTTGTGGGCAAAACCTGTCAGCCAATTGAGCGCAGCAGTTCCCACAAACCATTGTGGATTGAGTGACCCAACTATTATGATTTCTTTATGGATTCTTTACAGATACATTTAGTGCATTTTGTGTTGTAAAACAACGGAAATAGGAAGTTGTTGGGCATCTTGGCTGCCAATAGGCAAAGCACTGCTGCCACCTGCAGTACAGACAAGAAAATCACCTCAGTACTTCAGGCAGCGATATCATTTGTTTGGCATTTCCACGAAAAGGCCTTTAAAAACCGTAACTATTTACCTTTGTTTTTTTTGTGTTCCCAACAACGTACTTGCTGTTACAGTACAGACATAGACAGTGGCTGTGAACCAGCCAAACCACATACTAATTGGAGGCGTAAAATGAGTTGGTGTAGTTCTATGGCACACTTTGAATACTGATGCATTGTTCCATAGGGTGTTAGATTATTGGTTGTTGACTACAATTTGCTTTGTTGGGAGTTCCCAAACTCAGTCGTGTAATCAGGTAGAGGTGAAAGGTTTCAAGCCAAACATTTCACAGTGGAAGGGAGCAGCAGAGGACTCACCCCCAATTGATCTCTGGTACAGTGGCTTGTGTAAGAACAGCATTGGTTGCAAGTGCCTTGAAAGGCGTTAAATAAAGATAGAAAGATTGGCGAGAAACAAAGGATAAATGTATACATGGGCGCAAAGAAAGATGCGGATTCGCCAGCAGCAGTTTTAATGTGAGGACAGTTGGTGTGGAATCAGAACTCCCAGACACACATTTTATCAAAATGTGCATACATGAGAGAGGGGAATGTAGGTGTAAGGGAGGGGGATGAGGATAGGTAGAGGTTCATGTGGATTATAAACACCAGCAGACTAGTTGGGCTGAATGACTCGTTCCAGTATAGTATATATAATTCTATGTGGAAAAGAAATTGAACTACAACATTCATATTTTCAATCCTAAGACCTAATTAAAGGGTCTTTTCTTTCTGTTTGCACTGTTAGGTCTACAAAGCAGATTTACACTCATTTCTGTTCCACAGTAAAGTATCTGGAACGTGGACTCTACCCCATTGAAGGGCACCATATAAATGGAAGTCATCATTGTTATTATGGTGCCATTTTGTGCCAAAAGGCAGTATGATCGCTGGTCTGAAAGCATTTGATTTTCAAGAATAAAAGAATTGATAGCAATATGGTTGGAAGAACATTGCTGCGTATGACAAGGGCCCCTTTTCAAAATGATGTCAAAGGGTATAAGACAGTATAAGCAATTAAAAAATTTGGAAAATGAAAAAGATGTTAAAAAAATGTACGTCATAAAATTGGAGGATGACTCAAACAAGTCCGGTCACTTTTACTCAACTGGTTACCTCGTTTTCTTTGCTTTTAATGGTGATCTAAAAAGGGACTTGAAGGACTGGTCCTCGCATTGAGTGCGACTCCGAACAATATACTCTCTCAAAGTTTAACACTTGCTGATGTTTTACGCACTGCATTCCTTCCAGATGAGTAACCAAAATGTGCCTAAACACGGCCATTCTCTCCTCTCCAACAGGGGGAGAATTGGTGTTTGGAATCTTTGCACATTTTTAAATCCACCACATCCTGCATTACTATTCCTCACCCTCTCCCTTTTGCCATTTGAACACGGGCGTCACAAGCCAGGGCAGTGATCACATAGGGGTAGAAGTGTATATACTGTAAGACAGGTTTCTTTTAAATGTTCTCTACTTTTCAGGTGTTGCCTACATTATGTAGAGCATAAAATGTACGCAGACAACAAACACACCCTCAGTTGTCTGTCTTAGTTAATCCAATGCCTAGTCAAACACTTCTATTCTTTCTCTTGCAACAGAAACCAGCAATGGGAAATGTTTATATTATTGTAGACTGGATAGGAAATGGCAGGGTCAGAGTACCATTGTGGCTTTCTTCCAAGTTGCTTTCCCTTGGCTTTCCAAAAAAAATAAACCACACTGAGCCAACATTAACAACAAAAGGGCTGCACGAGTAATGGACAAATAATTTATTTGTACACATTCAAATTTGTTTTCTCTCACATTCAAGAATTAAATCAAGTTCACCAATAAAAAGAAAACAGTGCTAAAATCAAGGAAAATGTAGATATGTCGTAATATTTTTATACTGATACTCACTAAACAAGCAGTCACATTAAAATAGAGGAACAAAGATGCATTCCACCGGAAAGCAGCAAATCAAGGTTCTTACAATTTGAGCGTGCTGGACCACATACGAGAGGGTAACAAATAACCTTGTTGAACATGAGGGGAGATTTTGTCGGTGGTTAAAAGATATCAAGAAAAATATGGAAATGGTAGAGATCCGCTCAACTGAAAACTGAGCTGGGAGCTTTCACACAAGTGAAATTACACCACAGGTTACTGTTTATACAACTTGTACTTCTAAATGCCATGATATCTATGCACCCATTTCAATACATGTTGATGGTAAAAACCTATAACACCCGAAATTATTTTTCAAAATGTAACTGAAGGATCTTGCAGAGGCAGTCTTTTTCTCTCTGCACAATGGGGACTGAAATGAAATCTCTCAAAGCAAATGCAGCTTAAGATTTGTGCGTTCACATGGCAACCGCATTAAATATTGACCCAATTTGCTTTGGCGAGCGAGTGAGGGAAGATGACGAGTTGGGTTAAGTTTTACAGTACTTCCTACCTCATGAGAAAGCAGGAATCTTAAGAAGAACTCTGTTCAGTTCTAACTATCGACAGCACTTCCAAACCCTGCGCATGCAAGATGGGGAATCTTAGCATTTGGCTTTTTAACTTGTACTCAAGATGCTTAACTCAAGTAAAGGGGGGAAAACTGTTGGGTAAATTCTCTCTTGCACAGTTAACAGGTTTCTAAAAACTAATTTCCCCACCTGTTCAATTGTTTAAGAAATGGATTGCTACCTTAAAAGGAAACTGGAGGATGCATTCTTCTATTAAATACAGCGCTTGCAGTTGTTGCTGCACAAGAGAAAGCAACAAACAAAATCTACCATACGTGAATCTAATCATGTTTGATATATGGTTTGACTTATTGTTAATAATATTCCATTAATATTCAAACCAGTTGTAAATTTACATAATCACTATGTACTACAAATTTATTAATCATCTGGAAGAATGGCTTCAAACTACCTAAATCCCTTTCAAAAACAGTGGCACTTTTTAAAAAAAAACTTGATCATTACTTTTATCCAAAGGCTGGATTTAGGTCTTCAGAGTATAGTCTCTGTGGTCATCTGTTTCTGTACAAGTTCAGTTCATTCTACGAAACTTTTAGCAGTTTAAAAAAAATCAAATACCAGAATAAGATAAACCCTAAAATAATTACAAAATGCTAAAACATTCTTTTCTATCTCATGCCTTTATTACAGGTTCCACTGCGCATTTTAACAGATACAATTTAACAGATACTTTCCATCTGCAACCTGACAGGTCAATTTTACAGTCAAAGAAAATCTGAAAGATTAATTATTGAGAGGGTAGTACAATAGATAGCTGTTGAGTAATCAGGGTGATCTCTGATGAGATTTTCAGAGGATTGTAGAGGGGGTGCTTAAGCCCTGCAGTGATAGACACATGAACTTGCCTGTGGAGTTAATTGGAGCAGTGGTTACCAGAATATGTGCTTTTGATACAAAGAGTGGTCGAAACATCTATCCAAACAAGTATGTGATAAGAATGTACTAAAATTGTTAGAATTCAAGAAATTGGGATATCAAATATTACTGTTTACTGGGCCTCTATTTCAGTTGTCAATCTTAAATTTTGTTTTCCCACATCTGTCATAGCTGCTCAAAATACAATTTGCTTACTTGGCAACTTCATGCTTTCCTTACACCCTGTTAAGGTGTGAAGCGAAGAATGCAATATGAAGGACAACAGAAATAAAAAAAAATCTATTGTATGTGGTATGCATTAAATCTCTTCTACTCAACAGACGTATGGAACAGTTTGATCTCTGTGCTCCCAAAAACCATGCTATCCTTAAATCCTACAGGAAAAAAATCCCATATCAATATACCAAATATAAACAGTACGTACACACGTTTGAGGAATCCTAGCTATCTGAAGGTGAATTGTGCCATTGATATTTCAAGTGGTAAGTCACTGAAACCGACCAACAAATGTTGCCTTCTGACTAAATTTACTACTACACCCAAATGACTGAGAAAAATGTTTAAAGCTATAAAAGATAATTTTGATATCCTGAATGTGAAGTTTTTTTTAAAAAGACAGCTTTGTCAAAATGAACAAACATCAGTTGTAAGAACTTTGATTTGCATTTCGAGCATCAATGAAAAACGATGTGCAAATCTTTCACATTTGTTGAGGTGATCACAAGATGCTACACCAAGGCAAAACTCCGATACATTATTCTTAATTTCACCAAAATTGAAAGGTGCGTTGAAGTTGAAGGGGTAGGAGGAAGACTATTAATTTTGGAAATACGGTATTGGGTTTCATGTAAAAGTGAAGGACACCACAAAGTAACATTATACTACTTCAGTTCAACAACCAATAAAGGCTTGGAAGTAGGCCATATCTGTCATATAAACTTCTGTTACCAATTTCAGTATCCTTGGAACAGCAGCACTAATTCCAGTTATCTGTATTTTTATATAAATTCTATGCCTTCATACTTTACATTCCCAACTTTGGTTTCCTCTAAAAGAAAGCGTCCATCTAAAGTGAAAACCATAATATAAGTAGCTATATTCCCGTTATCTTCTTCAGATTTCAATGATACAATGATCTGATCATCTGTATCAGGAATAAATTTAAAAGAAGAAAATCCATGAACAGGGTTAATCTCTCCAATCTTGCTCACTGATATCTCCTTAAAATCTTGGGTGCATTTGATGATGAGGTTTGTTCCTCTACGTTCGTCATCCTTCTCATTGTAATGCTCACTGCTTGCTCTTCGTGGCAGAAAGAACCAGCGTTGCAGTCGATCACTCCAGCCTGCTGATTCATGAATGAAGTATCCTATACGGGAAAAAAAGATGAGCTTCACAATAAATCTTCCACTTCCTTCTTAAATTAACTTCCGAGTGCACCTTTGCTTCTCCTTGGAAGTTTGCCCATATTCGCCCTATTTCTAACAATGAATATCCTTTTACATTCAAACTCCCATCCCATTGTTCCTATTTTTAACCATTCCCAAGATATTCTCAAATGATCACCTTGAAATTTCTTCCTGTCCCGCTGGTGATGTTCACCATGTTATACACTCTCCGATTCTAAAAATGTCATCTCTTCAGAATCTGGCTTCTCCCTCAAATCATTCCTTATTGAAGATAAGCTCAGCCCTGCCCAGCCCCATCCTTCACCTCAGCATAGCATACAATGTAAGAACATTCCTCAAGCATAGGAATCCTTAACACCTGGGCTCACCAAAGCTAGATAAGATAAACACCCGACATTTTAATTTAAAATCAATAGGAATATATTTTTAAAATTCTATTCCATTTTGCAACATGATTTCCTACCTGGAGATTTGATTCCAGCAGCTTCACGGAGAGCATTGTAGTGAGACACCCAGTTTTCATGATGAACATCACCTTTATAACCAATGACTTTCACCCACTCTGGATTTTCATTCACTACCTCTCCTGTGGTAGTTGTCCATTCTTTTCCAAGTCCACCCACATAAAGGTGCTCATCTTTTACTGCCATCCACTCAGCTTTGAAGCCTAAAGAAACAGCACAGAAAAAGGATAACAATGCACCAATATCTGCATTTGTCTGCATCATCTGCAATATCTGCATTTAAATTACAAATATCTATATCTAACCTGATTAACCACCATTTTATTCACTTGGACAGCTTTTCTATAACTATAAACAGAATAGTGAATTTACATAGTATCCCAATAACTAATTTGCCATAACCCATACCCCTTCAAAACTTTGTCTTTCACATACCCATCTCCTTCCCTCTTGAAACTCACAGTGGACCAACTATATTTTTAAATTTGCATAAAATACATGTATAAATAACATCAATGCACAAACTAGTATGAAGCATACAGTTAGTTTAATAAAACCATTACAGAGGTTTTATTAAATACATATAAAAGAGCAGTTAATTTATAGAATCTGCATAGGGTAGCGATAAAATGATAACTTATATAGCACCCTCCACGCAAGATAGTGTCTCGAGTGGAGATGCCGGCTGGTGGATTGGGGAGTGAGTAGGTCAGAGAGCTAGGGAGGTGCCAGAGAGAGAAGGGATTTGAGCACAATCAGTGTATAGGAAAAGCCAAACAAATCACTACCATACCTTTTTCAACACTTCCATCTCCGTCTGTCAGAATTACCCATGGGATTGCTTTATCTCCATCAATGTGAAATACAACTCCTGTCCTATCATCCACAGTGTAAAGCTTCCCATTAAAAACTATGAGCTCAGACAATTCCATGCCACGTCCTTTTTCCGACAGATGAGTTTGAAGAACGGACTTGTTTTTGTCCCATTCTAAAGTCACCTTGTCTCCACTCTCTGATAAAATCAAATAGCCTTTCTTCAAGTAACTGAACCAAGTATTAACTTTCTGTTCCTTCTTTGATTTTGTGTCCAAATCTGCAATTAGTCCAATTCGGTATCTGACCCCTTCCAGGGTTTTCTGTGCGGGCGAAAGCGGGTATGTGTCATTGTATCTGCCTCTTGGGGAATGATTAGTTTGCCAGTTGTGCAAACGCACAGAAGAGTTGTTTGGAGAAGCCTTGTGAAAATAAACAACAAAGAATACAAAAACGATAATAAAAACCACTGCGATGGTCTTCCATCTTGGCCGAAAACGAGAATCCCTTGTTTTTGTCATGGAAGCTATAACAGGAAGGCCACCGATGGATATTCGAAGAGAGCTCATAGAATCATTTCCATTCGGAAGGCCATAGAGTTGCACAGGCATGAGGCTGTACCATAAGTAGAAATCTGGAGTTTAAAAAAAAGCTAAAGTTAATGTTTAGAAGTTATTCTTGGTTTATGCAAACTTTCAATAAAAGTGCTACTATTGTTGCAGAACAAAATTTATTTCAATATGAATTTAATATGAATCTATAGATTCAAATATGAATCTAACTATGGAACACCTCAGATCTATTATATATGTTTCTCAGGCATGATTGGGTAATGCTAGATTTCTAAAAAATTAATTTCAACAAAATTAAAATGGTCAATGGATGGAAATCACACACAAACACAAAATGGGATGTCTAAGTTATTCACATTAACAAATAGGTAGCAAAATCTTGTAGCTAAACCAAAGAAGGGAGGTAATTACAGTATCGAGTTCAACATTAAAATGAGGCCTACCGAGAACTTATGAAGAAAACAAAGTGGGTCTTGTTAAAGAAGCTTGCCAGAATTAAAAATGACCCATTCAAAATAAACTTGTTACCATACCTATTAGCTCATGAAGAACAGGTTACGCTGAACAACTGTCGACGTGGAAGGAGGGAGTGGCAAGAACCTTCTGTTAATGACTATTAACAGGAGTTCCTAAGAGCAAACATTACAAAATATGTTAATACCTTAGCAATGCACAATGAAACTTCAGGAATGGTCAAACTTCTTTGTAGCTTTGAATTTATCTCGATAACCATTTTGATACAAGGTAAGCACATTGTTGGCTTATCAAAACAAAATATCATCTCATTCCGCATTATTTCAAATCTTTGTTTATCGTATTAGCAGATTGTGGAAGAAACTGTTGAATAAAATGACATGCAATTGGCAATACTTAATTCTGGTTTAAATGTGCTTCAAAATATTTAAAGTTATTCCTACTAATATTAATAATGTCACTCACACACACACCAAAAAAAAAACACCCGAATCGCTGACCGAGGCACCGCCGCGAGAACCTGTAGAGGAGGTTTGTGGAGTCCTGTAGCTCAGTGGTTATAGCACTCGCTTTGCAAGTGAGAGACCTGGGTTCAATTCCAGGCAGAGGGTGAAACCTTGGGCAAGTTTCCTTACTCCACACAGAGCCTAATAATAATCCCTCCAAAACCAAAACCAATAATAAATTGGTCATTTTCAATCTACGACTGTTTGTGGGACATTGCTATGCGCAATTGGCTGCCGCGTTCGCCCACAAATATACAGTCAATTCACTTTACAGTGTGTTCTGTGAAGCGCTTTGGGACGTCCTCCCGACGTGAAAAGCGCTATATCAAATGCAAGGATTATTATTATTATTATTATTACAACAATATTTGAAAATGGGCAAACAGCAATAGCTAGGTAAATTTTTAAACGTTACAGTTACAGAAGGGTTACACCCAGCTGGTTGAAAACTGAAGAATTGAAAAAACACATAATGTTTCAGAAATTCTGGCACTTTATCTTCTGAGCAGAACTGGTCATGAAAGAATTTATAGAACACAATACTGTCAACAATACATAAAGTAATTTAAAAAAAAAAGCTTGTACATGAGAACAAATTGAATTTTTTTTAACACCAGTTTACGTTTTCAATATTGTTCCATATTCTCGCCTTAAAAGTCTGGGCTCATGAACGCACACTGCTAAAAGGTCTAAACTGGCTAAGTACAGATGTGACGATATATGGCTGTCAGCCACAGTACATATCTTCTTGTAGAAAAACTACCTCAGCAGGCTACATCTGTCTACAAACACTAGAGGGTTTTTTCAGCATCACATTCAACTCCCAGCAGTTAATAAAAGGACTCATTCTTCACCAGACTAACAGGAGGTACTATAGGGTTTCAGCTGGAGTGGCAAATCTTGCTGAATATTTAAATTTCTAAAAAAAATAAATGCCTCAGTTGTTAACCTCGCACCTCCCCAGCGACACATTTAAGATCAGGAACTTGCTGCTGCGGACCATGGGTATAAACTGCTTTGAACCATGAGTTGCATTACCAATGTATTATGCCACTTAAAAATATAATCTAGAAAATCCCATTTTGCCCTCCCAAAATCCTGCTCTTATCTCCCAACTAAAGGTTCAATACAAGTGAGAACGAGATGCTTATAAGATGTGTCCTCTCCCCCTTCTCCCTGCAAAGCTCCTATTAAGTAACCTGACTGACAACAGATGAAGGGCAATAAATGGGCATCTGCAAAGTTGTGAGTGCGTGTGTGTGTGGGGGGGGGGGGAGTTGTGAGGGTGTGTGTGTGGGGGGGGGATGTGAGGGTGTGTGTGTGTGGGGGGGGAGATGTGAGGGTGTGTGTGTGGGGGGGAGAGGTGAGGGTGTGTGTGGGGGGGGAGAGGTGAGGGTGTGTGTGTGTGGGGGGGGAGGGGTGAGGGTGTGTGTGTGGGGGGGAGAGGTGAGGGTGTGTGTGTGGGGGGGGGAGAGGTGAGGGTGTGTGTGGGGGGGGAGAGGTGAGGGTGTGGGGGGGGAGAGGTGAGGGTGTGTGTGTGGGGGGGGGAGAGGTGAGGGTGTGTGTGTGTGGGGGGGGGAGAGGTGAGGGTGTGTTGGGGGGGGAGAGGTGAGGGTGTGTTGGGGGGGGGAGAGGTGAGGGTGTGTTGGGGGGGGGAGAGGTGAGGGTGTGTTGGGGGGGGGAGTGGTGAGGGTGTGTGTGTGGGGGGGGGAGAGGTGAGGGTGTGTGTGTGGGGGGGGAGAGGTGAGGGTGTGTTGGGGGGGGGAGAGGTGAGGGTGTGTTGGGGGGGGAGAGGTGAGGGTGTGTGTGGGGGGGGGGGGGGTTGCACGCACGCACTGCGACCGATTCCACCGGGAGGAGAGGGTTTGTGTGAGGCGGCGGCTCGAATTCCTCCTCCTCCTTCCCCTCTCTCTCTCTCACTCACACATACACACACACACACAGACTTAGACATATATTATATTAAAAAAAAATCACAGCACAGAAACGACCTGGAAGCTCCGCCATATATATATAGAACATATATAATGTAATACATAGATATGTATAGATATATAAACATACACTTACGGTAGGCGTCGTGACACCGAGGGAGGGAGGGGAGGGCTTCGCCTCTCGCTGCCGATCCTCCGCCTCATCCCGGCTCGAGCCCCCACCACCAGAGTCTCTCGGTGTACGGTGTGCGGCGGCGGCGGCGACGGACTCGCGCTCGCGCTCACCTGCCCCGGAAAGCTTCCGCTCCCGCCTCCGGCTCGAGCTCTGCCCGCTCGAGAGCCCAGCAGCCGCCTGTGCGCAGGCGCGCCTTACGCACCGGGTGCGCGAGGGGGGTTGGTTGAGGGAAAAGGGAGTGAGGAGGAGGAGAAGGGGGAGGGGCCAGAGGCACCCGCGCGCGAGACAGACAGGGACCGCGCGCCAGGGAGCCGTGTCGCTGCGCACGCGCGCGCTTTTACAAACCGGGGTGGCAGTTGGTCGAGGGCGGTGAGAGAGAGGGGCGAGGAGAGCTGACCGCGCATGCGTCGCGCGAGCGCCGGCCGACGCCGACGAATGTGCGCGTGCGCCGGCGTCATATTTACGGACACGTCTCCCCCTCTCTCTCTCTCTCTCTGTGGCGGAGGCGCTCGGGATTTCGCAAATACAAAAAAAAACACACACACACACTGACGGGAGAAAGAAAGGAAGAAAAACCCGGCGGGACCCGGTCACTGCGGCCCAGCCTGACTGGGCATGTCCGCCCGTCCTCAATGCGTTCGTGCGGCAGTGACTTCTTGAACCCGACAGGCGAGGCTGAGGCCTAGGCCGAGGGGGAAGCCTCGGGTTTTCCTGAGGGAAGCGAGAGGCAGTGAGGCGGCTCACACCCTCTCCTCCTCCTCCTCCGCCCCCCTTCCCCCCCACAGGCCTCCCAACACCGCCACCCAGAGCCATGGCCGCCGCCGCCGCCGTCGTCCCGGCCAAGAGCCTCCGCGTCGGCGACATCCAGGACCCGGCGACGCTCTTCGAGCGCTACGGCACCGAGGAGATCCGGCAGGTGGAGAGGCGGGTGCGCGGGGAGATCGAGCAGAAGAAAGAGGAGCTGCGGCAGATGGTGGGCGAGCGCTACCGCGACCTGATCGAGGCGGCCGACACCATCGCCCAGATGCGGCTGTGCTCCGAGAAGGTGGTGGATTCGGTGCGGGGGATGTACGACTACTGCACCCGCCTCAGACCTCCTGCCGGCGGGGCCCCGGGCAAGGCGGCCAGTCTGACAGCCAGGAGGACCCAGGTGCGCCCTGACCCCTCCTGTGCCAGTGCTGTTCTGGTTGCTAATTGCTCCCAACACTACCAATAATGATCCTTGCGTTTTGGTCATAGCGCCTGAGACGCCTCGAAGCGCTTCTTCCACGATACACAACTATTGCCGCTTAATAATAATCCTTGCGTTTGATGCAGCGCTTTTCACGTTGTGGGGAAAAACAAAGTCAATTGACTGTTTTATCTCCCGGGCAAAACCCGGCAGCCGACCCCGCGCACAGCGGTGTCCCGCAGACAGCGGTGGATTGAATGGCCAACTTATTACTGTTTACTTTTTGATATAGCACCTTATCGCGTAGTTGAGAACGTCTCAACGCGCTTCAAAGAATATACTGCAAAGTGAATCTGCGATGTTTCATGCTCCTGGCGTTTAATGTCACGTGGAAACGTCTCAGAGTGTTTCCTAATTGTTGTCCGGTTGTAGTAGTGACTGTGGATTTGCCGGTCGATTTGCACCCAGCCACGTCCCACAAACAGGAATGAAGGGAATAATCAGTTTTGTCTGGTTGATTGTTGGCCAGTGACACCGGGGAGAAACTTCCTTCTCTTTCCAACAGCGCCTCGGTATCTTTAGCATCTGTCGGAATAGGCACAGATGGAATCGCAGTTTAGTGTCCCATCCAGAGGAAGGCACCTTTGATAATTGCAGCTTTCTTTCTCTCCCCCCCCCCCCCCCCGCCACACTGTGCTGAAGAGTGAAGCCAGACTGACAAGGGCCCTCAATCTTATGAGCCAGAGAGAAAGAAACCTTTTTAATATTTGAGGGGTTTTGAGGGCGCTTAAAGCCAAACACAGTAAGAGTAATATATTGGTATATAGTAATAGTAAGATATAGCTAACGGAGTACTATGTTTAATCCTCTGTCCCAGTCTCAGAGGCAGTCCCAGGAGAAGTTCTACTGTATGGCAGCGCAAATCAAGCTCCTTCTGAATATGCCTGAGAAAATCTGGAGTGCCTTAGAATTGTCACAGTATCTACATGCTACTCAGATGTACCTGCTCTGCTGTCACATTCATAGCATCCTTCAACTTGACTCCACAGCGTCCCATTACAGTCCTGTATTGTCACAATTTCCCATCCTGGTTCGGCAAGTAGCAGCAGCCAGCCATTTCAGGTAGGTTTAATAATTCTTACATTTGGTACAAACCCTTTCATGTCAGGAGGACTTCTCAAAGTGCTTTAGAGGATATTGTGATTTATTGGTTTCATCCACCAATTTGTTCAGTTTCAAGTGTATCAACAGAAGTTGAAGGTACCCTTATGGTGGACAAGAATATGCACGCAGTTAAGCTTTCTCAATGGAGCTACCTTATTGACTTGGTTATTTTAGTGATGAAAAAATAATTTCCCAAGTCTGTTCAATTATATTTCCTTGCGGTGATTTTGACACATCATGGCTTTCTGATGTGGCGTTAACTGTGTTACCAAAAAGAATACCTTCCCTTTCATTGATACTCTTTAAACTGAACAAATTGGTCGATGAAACTGTGTTCCATGATACTGTCTTGCTGGAACTTTAGGATGGAAATGGGTTTGCATGTAAATGTACCAAACTTCCACTAGTTCTGCTTTTTTGATTACTGTTGTTAGATATATTTTGCTGAGCCACGTTCTGGTGATTTGCAGCATTAGATAGTGATCTATTGGTCTGAGCCCAGCTGAACCATGCATCTGTTAAATGATGGATGGGATTCCAGCCATAGGTAGCGACTTTCTGCACAAGGCTGCCTTGTCATCTATCCAAACATTAACTAGTATGAGTTAAGTGAGTGTGCCTTTCAGATGTTGAGATAACTTCTGTAGGTAGATTATGTAACGGCATCACTTTTGATGAAATCCAGAGTTGTAAACTTTGGATGAGGATATTAACAGAGTATGCAAAACAGAGTAGTGGTTTTGTTCCTGGTTAGTTTTGTATTGTTGAAGTATTTTAACAATTGTACAAATATAATAAGGAATGGTGCAATTTTTGGAGTTGTTTGAAGGGGAAGTTGAATAATTTAGCCTTTCACACAGTCATTACTTTGTCAGAATTTGCATGATTTTTTTGTGTACATAGGTGTGTTTGGTGAAGACGACTGCATAAAAGTTAATTATTTTTGTGAAATGAAGGCCTTCTTTGTTCTACTTTGAGAAGAATGCGGTTTCTAAAGTAGTCTTTTTGTCTCTTAGAGCGTCCATTTTGCAGGAGAGTAAAATGCTTTTGAAGGGTCGGGCAGTGTCGGACCAGGCTATTGCGGAGGCTCTCTGTTCCATAATGCTCCTAGAGGACAGCTCCCCACGCCAGGCTCTCACTGACTTCCTACTTGCAAGAAAAGCAGCAATTCAACAACTCCTTAACCAGCCACATCATGGTGAGAATTCCCTTGGCTCCATTTCATAATAATAATCCTTTCATTTGATATAGCGCCTTACCATGTCGTTGAGATGTCTCAAAGTGCTTCATAGAATGTACTGTAAATCGGATTGATTGCATATTTTGTGGGCGAAACATTTCTATGGGAAAAGGAGCATGTTTTTAAATTGAGGCTAGATAAATGTAGGTGAGAGCTGTTTTTATCAGATGACTGGAGATGAATCTGTCAGCTAGGAATGATGTCCTTTCAGCATGATAACAGACCTGTATTTCTTGTTCTCCGAAATTGAATGGGCCTGCATTTTTTTGTTCGCAGAGGTATTTTCAGAGATTGGAATGCTATTTTTCATTTGTAAATTCTGTGAACTAACGACAATGTTATTGTGTATTTTTAGGTGCTGGTATAAAGGCACAGGTTTGTTCACTGGTTGAACTGTTAGCCACTACACTTTATCAGGCTCAAGCTGTGTTTTATACTCCATCGGAAAGAAAAGTGCCAGACACAACATTAACCTGCGGTCTCCTCTTCACCACCCTGGAAACCATCACCAATCCATCTCCAGCAGGTATGTGAGGGGGGTGGGATGTCATCAATGTCAGGCGGTGTGCGAATCTTATTTTTCAAAAGTGCATCTACACAACTTAAACAACAAACAGCAACTTACTCTAGGGGTTACACTGGAGGCCAAGAAAGCTGAACGCATCTTCTGTTACTCCTTGCAGAAAAAGGAATCAAAGTTTTAAAGGAAGAGGTAAAGTCTGAGACCTGGTTCAAGTACCTACCGCCTTCTATTGTGGATTTTCAAACACCCCTGAGGACCCTGGCTCATCCGATAAACCACGACTACTTAAGAGACACCCTTCAGCAGTGGATTAACATGTAAGCCGTTGGTTGCAAATGAAGAGAAACCCCTCATTTTGTGGGTGACGCACAACTGCCATTTTTATTGTTATTTTCCCAATTTCCTTTTATTGAAGGTGTAAGGATGACATAAAGATGGGAATTGGGAATCTGTTGATCTATGTGAAAAGCTTGAAGGGCCTTGCTGGAATTCGAGATGCAGTGTGGGAGCTCCTCACCAGCGAGTCCATCAGCCGGAACTGGGAAACTGTATGCCTCCGACTGCTGGACAAACCACTCTCTTTCTGGGAGGACTTCCTTCAGCAGCTCTTCCTTGACAAATTGCAGGTAGGCAGCATCAAATCTTCATTGTCCACTTTTTTGCTTCGAGTTATTAGTGCACTAGACAGATACAGTGATTTTTTTTCGGTCAGCCGAGTGCCCGATCCATGCGGAAACCCATCACCACACTTAAGAGCATCCAAACCAAGCTGAGAATTCCACGAAAGCACAATACAGTGAAACTCAGTTTGTGGACTTGACGGAAGTCATTCTTTTCTCTTCAGGCACTGACGCAAGAGGGTTTGGAGTCCATCGCATGCAGTTCGAAACAGCTCCTGGTTTCAGCTTTAACAGAGCTTCAGACAAAATGCCCAAGCGCTGGTTCCACCAAACCCGTTCAATTTGAGTACAATGTCTCTGCGTTTCTTTGGTCCGAGAGCAGTAATGACTTGTTGCCAGATGCTGCTTGGGTTAGCGTTCCGAATCGCAGCCAGTTTATAAAAAGTGGGCTTTCCATGAAAGCTCAAGCTCTTACACTTTGCATCCAGAACTTCTGCTCAGCAATCGACTCTAAATTAAAGGCTAAACTGGATGATTTAGTGATGTACCTTCCTCCAGATTCTTCAGTCAAAGATCATGTTAACAACAATTCTGATTCCAAGGTGCAAAACTCAGCATTTGACCGGTATGCTGATACGGACAAGGTTGAAGAAATGGTACGGACACAATGCCTTTCTTGTGTGCACTACATCCTCGACAGTATGAAAGCAGAGCTCAGAACTGCAGAACAGAAGTTGCAAGGCTGTGCTTATTCTCCGAATGATTGTAACCTAAATGCCGTCCTTTTCATGGCCAGGTTATGCCAGTCTATAGGGGAACTCTGCCCTCACCTCAAGCAGTGTGTTTTGGGTAAGTCAGGAACCAATGAACTACATGTACGGGACTCACGTCCCACCAAGAAACTGGGCAAAGGGAAGACTCAAGAGGTGAATCCCGCACAAGCCAAGTGGCAAGAAGTGAAGGACCAGCTCTTGCAGCAAAGCATGAGCGCATATAGGATTTGGAGTGTTACTGTGTCCAAGGTCAGTAACTACATACACGTGGTTATTTTGCTTGTAAAAAGGGTTTTTTAATGGTACAAAAAGGAGAACAAATTGTATGAATGATTGAAAGAGACTCATGGAGCTGGCAGGGCATCCCCTGATAGCCATCAGTGTCTAGTGGTCCGTTTAAGAACAAGGTTTTCAGACATCTAATTTTACTTGGCATTGTACAGGGGTTTCATCTGCGCATGAATGGGTTGTTAGATCAAAGAAAGATAATACAATGTCATGTACCGCTTAGATATGAGTAAGATGCCAGTTTCCCTGTACAGTTAGAGTGGAGGATACTGTGGAAATGAATCCACAATAAATTGATGAAAAGATACATGATTAGGAGTCGCGTTCTCATTGGTAGTTTTGGACCTTGGAACCAAGTGAACCTCTAGTTTAATGATTAGCCTTATTAATTCTTGTCTTCGTGTAGCTTAACCATGTTTAGTTGCTCTAATTTGACTGCAATACAATTCCACTTACCGTATGTGCCAACAAATTGCCCAATGCCTTAATGAGATGCGCAGGGAGTCTGCCTGGAGTGAGATCTCCACTGCAGATAGTGGGCTGTATGGAATAATAATAATAATCCTTGCATTTGATATAGCGCCTTTCACGTCGGGAGGACGTCCCAAAGCGCTTCACAGAACACACTGTAAAGTGAATCGACTGTATATTTGTGGGCGAACGCGGCAGCCAATTGCGCACAGCAATGTCCCACAAACAATGGCATACATCTGCTGCCAGCTTAACTGATTTTCTGTTATAGATTTGGCGATATTTGTGCCTGATTTCTGACATTGCTGCAAAACAAATGCAACTTTTCCTTTTATATCCTTTTTCTCATTTTTATACACCTAGGGGGTGAGATCTGTGCAGCCCCAAGAGATCATTTACCTTTCGATTGCTCCTTGTAATGGTAGGCGTGAGCATACTTGGAGGATTTGTGGCTGCATTGAACCTCAAATGCTTCACAATGGAGCTAACTGCAATGCCAAGCCCTGTGGTGTTTGCCTCCTCCGGCCTAAACACTTATAGGAGTATTGATTGAACTTGAAGACTGAAAAACATTTGGGAGAATAAATGCCTTTCCTTTCAGTATGCCTTCTTGTCTAACTCTGGAATAGTTTGTAAGAAGCTTGTTACAACTTTGAAGTCCAGGGTTCACAATATCAGTACCTCACCATGAAATTCCAATGTTATAAAAGGGGCACTTGCTTTTCTTGGTGATGCACTGGAGGAAGCAATTTTATTACATTGTTTATGTTCAGTGGACTTTACAATCATCAAATAGTGAGGTGGTGGATTTATAGCCATGCACAGTGTATACACTGTGTGAGTAAGTTCATATCCTGCTCCTTGGGAGGTTTTATAACTAAGCAAACAAATAATGACTGATATTGGGTTTAGCATTAGAGCACATTGTCACTATTTTCCATTTTTTTTAAAAAGGCTCTTGTCCACCGCTTCACACAAACATTGCACTCTGATACGGCTGGAGCTATTTTATCTACAGCCACCAACTGGGATATAATTGAAATCCAAGAGGAAACAGAAGCTGGAAATAATGTTGCGTCCAAAATCCGTCTTCCTGTACAGGTTCGAAGTATTGTTTTATCTCTTTCTGGGTTTCAATATTTGGCGTGAACTTGTTTATTAAAAAAAAAAGAAACTTCCATTTCGATTTACTTGGCAGGAGCAAAGTCATTAAGCGTCCTTAGTGCTTGATGTGTAATTTGCAAGTTTATCCTCCTGCTCGAAACAATGGCCCATTTACAGTACAGGATGATGTGCATCAAGATGGCCTCGCAGCAGGCAAATTTTTAAAGCTCTCTTTAGATCCTGTCTCCCAACCTTCTCTGCTTCAGTGCCTTTGCTCCTGTTCGGTTTCTTAAGTAGCTTCTCATTTCTCTGGGATTCTTTTAATAGATGAGCTGCAGAGTCTTTGGTGTGTGTGTCTGTCAATACTAAGTTAATTACAGGGGTTAGGTTCTCGTTCAAAAGCATGACATAAAATTTCAAGTTATTGGGTCAGCGTTAGTGAAAATTCTTCCATGAGTGCTTATGTATTCTAAGTCACTGAAATGTTTGCCGGCGTGATGTGTACCAGAGTTCAGAATCGTTCCAGAAAGCAGCATACAGTCGATCTTTAACCAGTATTTCACACTCGGGTAATAATTTCGCACTGGGATTATAATTTATCTGTTTTGAAACATAACATTTGGGAAATTGAAAGTACTAACAACATCTGGGGAATAAACTTTGTTCTGTAGTTTTGAAAGGGTTGGTTATTTATAAAGTACAACTGTTACTTGACTGCTGCTGGAATTTACAACACTATTTTTGAGGCAATAAGATTGGTGCTCACAGTCATCTGAAACCACAGATGTCAGTAATCCAATCATGTACTGTGGTTATGAGGAGACGTAAATCCTACTTCATAAAACACACAGGACTCATTATGTACATCGAATGACCTGAATGTGATTTGTAGAAACTAATTACAGTGCTTATTCAAAATGTAATTTGCACTGTTGCTGAATATCTGTTTTGGACTAAATGTCAGGTATGCTTTTGTAGAATATATAGAGTGCATACTGCTTTTTCAGTAGACATTTTAGACGCCATTGGTATTCATGTTTACATGTGGGGATAGATCAGTTCTTGTTAGAGGGGGAGGTTGGAGGGTAATTTAAGTAAACGGTTGAAGTCTGAAGGGGGTTTGTTTGTTTGCACTGATTTGCTGTATAGAGGTCCCTTGTGAAATTGGAGCAGGGAGTGTGCATGAACCTCTTTTAAGCGGCTACATTCTGCACACACTTGCTGTTTTTGTCTTCGTTGAGTAATGTGACTTACTGATGGACAGCAACTCTCTCCAGACTTCTTTTTTTCTCTTCAAAAACACCTGTGTGTTTGACCAGCAGCGTAGTTTTTTTTATTATTCTGTAAAGGCAGTCGGAGAAGGAAGAGGAAGTCTGACTGTAAACCAGAACATATACAATACAAAATTGCATTTGTATAGCGCCTTTCATATCGGGAGGACGCACAATACTGACTGACTTGATAGCTGGTTCTCATGCATGATTCATCTATTTAAAAAAAAATGCATTATTCTTTTACGCCTTTCTTATTTCACCAGCCGTCCTGGTATGTTCAGTCACTCCTCTTTCAATTGTGCCAAGAGGTGAATAGGGTTGGAGGTCATGCCCTTCCTAAGGTCACACTACAGGAATTGCTAAAGAGTTGTTTGGATGAGGTATTTGCTGGATACGAAAAATTAACCTCTGAAAAAGTGGGCAAGGTGTGTATATGTTTTTTGTTAAAAACACTGGTTAATAACTAGCTAAACATATTTGCACAGTTATGCGCTGTTATAAAGTGTTTGTACTGTGGAGCCCTTCCACTGAGCATGTATACAGCTGGCCCCCCTCGCTTCAGTTGGTAGCACTCTTGCCTCCTGAGTCAGAAGGTTGTGGGCGTTCAAGACCAAGGTCGGTGATTTTGATCTAATAATTTTAGACGGACGCTCAAATACAAGGATTCGTATTCTGTCGCAATTTGCAACTTCGGTGTTTTGCTGAGTTAAGTTTTTTTTTCCCCAAATGTTGGAAGCAAAAAGCGTGCAAAATATACATTTGCATATGATCGTATCATTGATGATTGATTCAAAGCAAATCTCTAAATGCCGAAAGCGCATAGCAGGAGAACCAGCATCTAGTAGATAAATGTTTTGCTTTGGATAGAAACCTCCAAGGAGGTGACAGTCTTGTCTTGTGAAACAACCACTGACATTCCACCAATGTTGTCCCATTTGTGGTTCTTTTGTTTCAGGCTGATTCTATACTCCCCTTAACCCAGAATAGAGCTCTTCAACTGCTTTTTGACCTTCGGTATCTCAACTTAGTTTTAACTGCCAGAAACGAGGAGGTGAAAACCAGCAGGTCCCAGCAAGATCCCAGGTACTAGACTTAAGCAGTGGAAAAATAATTTATTGCTTTGGCATTTCAGAAACTGATATTCGGAGATCTGCCAATGTGCTGTTGATAATGTTTTTTCTTATTCACCCCCCGTGTTTGTTGAATTAGGATTCAAAATTTGGCAGATTCTTTGGAGAGCCACATTGACCCGTTTGATTTGGATGTTTTCACTCCGCACCTTAACATTAATCTGAACAGACTCTCTCAAAGGACCTCCGTAAGTACAGCAGCTGTAATACAATCAAGCTTTTCCCTGTTGGCTGCAGAGAGCAGCCCTTGTCCGTTGGCCCTAGATTCAGTAAGTTCCCAGGACGTGCATTAAGGGAGTGGGGGGTGGACTTGATGAGAAGGTCCACCTCAGAATAAGAGGTGGACCTCCAAAACATTAGCTGGATTGTAGCTGCTTTGCTTGTCCAGATATGATGATGAACAGCACCACATGTTTTAGTGCTTAAGCAAGAGCTCTTTGTGTGTGAGACTGAGAGCTGCTTCTACTTTACTTGTTTATTCAAAAAACGGTGACCTCAATTGCTAGATTGAAGCTCTGATGGCCTTTTTCTTGCCTGTGGAAAATACTGCCACTTGTTAAACTGATATTGTTGTAACACACGTTGAAGTCTGTGGCTTCTCCATTGACGCCGAGTGCATTTCTCAAAGTCTTCCTGAACTCCCAGCAGGCCTAATTTATGTGACTTCCTTCCAGCCTCGTTAATACTCCTTTGGCCAAGGCTTGTTTTGCTATCTAACATACGGTATTTTAGAAGTGTGCTGTTGGTGGCGAAAATTGCAGCTGTGTAAAAGACCGTTCTATGTTTTAGGTGCTCTTTGGGTTACTTACTGGCACGGAGAAGCAATATACTAGTAGAGGCACAACATTTAACTCGCAAGAACCACATAACATCTTACCATTGGCTTCCAGTCAGATCCGGTGAGTCTCGCTCCGTTTTCTTCCTACAGAGCGCTTGAAAGAGTCACCGCTGAGGTGAATCTGTGTGCTGCTTTATGTACTCTGCTGTTTAGCACCTTGGTAACCGTGTAATCCGCCACTGTTCAGTTGAATCATATCAGTATCTATTTTTTAATCTAAATTTTTTTGAAAATCTTAATTTTATCTCATACAATCTGATGTAGAAAAAGATTAAAGAAACAAACTATATATCTTGAGAGTACACAAAACATTTGCTGCACTCAACAGTAAATACTGTAAATAATTAATGGTTTAACGTTTTATGCACTATAAAAATGCAAGTTCTTCCTTGTGCAATTTTTAAGTGACCCACCAGGATGGTACTTACAGGATATAGTAGTGCGGCTGTTTGTTTAAAGGGCATAAACTCTTCAGTTGAAATCTATTTGCTGCAATTAATTTTATTGTACATCTGAGTAATGTTGCTATGTATTGGCAACCAAAATTGGCAGTCTAGGTCTTTGAACAATATGGCATTGTCAGTAGTATTATATAAAAAAAAGCCTTGTGTTTGCTATACAACCTTCAACATCGGGAGGACATCTCAAAGTGCTTTACAGCATTTACTGCAAAGTGTAGTAACTGTTATTTTGTAGGCAAATTTGTATTCCTGCTTTAAAAAGTAATGCCACTGCAAAATGTCAAATTGTAAAATCGGATTCTTATTTTGGTTGTCTACGTGTCATAATGAGGAGATGTCAGTGGCCATATTGTAATCTAGAAAAGCAATTCAAATTGTGGTTTGGGGATAGTTAATCGCAGTGAAATACAGTGATTGTAGGAGGAATTTCCTATTTCCAGATGTATAATCGACTCAGAGAGAAGGTGAAAGGTCAATGATTTACTGCCAAGTAGCCATGTGGGCTATATATGAACTGTGGCAGCAATGCTAATTTGCTCAACCCACATGAAACCTGACTCACTGCAACTGCTCTTTTAGTTTACAACACAATTTCAGCCTAGTTAACATGATGAGAGAGTTCAAAAGCCTTAGATTCACTGGACTAACCACACACACTCCTGAGCTCTTTACAGCATTGCCGCGTCTACAACAACAACAACAAGATTCCATTTATAAAGCGCCTTTCATGTCAGGAGGACGTCTAGTTCCTGGTGTGGGGATGGGGGTGGGTGAGTGTGTTGGAATGCTGTCAGCATTGTGTGAGCACTGCCTAAATCACAACAGTAACTTATTTCACTGGTATTGTTTTAACTTGATTGTTTTTATTGTTGAATCTCTGGTCCACGCCTTTATCACCTCAAGGCTTGACTATAGGAACTCTCTCCTCGTCGGCCTCCCCGGCACTTCCCTCCACACTGCAGGTCATTCAGAACTCTGCAGCTCGTGTACTGTCCCGCACCAGGCTTCGCGACCATATCACTCCCACCCTCGCTCACCTCCACTGGCTTCCCATCCCCCAGAGGATCGAATTCAAGATCCTCATCCTCACCTACAAGGCCATTCATGGCCTCGCTCCCTCCTACCTCTCTGACCTACTATCCCCCTATCTACCTGCCCGTACCCTCCGTTCCTCTGGCTCCGGTCTGCTCCACATCCCCCGCCCCAACCGCCCTACCATCGGTGGCCGGGCCTTCAGCCCCGAGGCTCTGGAACTCTATCCCCCAGTGCCTTCGCCGCTTCCTCCCTTTCCTCCTTCAAGGCCGGTCTCAAAACCCTTCTCTTTGACTGTGCCTTCAGCTCCCCTTTCGACTCTCTACCCCCTCCTCGCTCCCTCCCTTCCCTCCCCTCACCCTGACTATTTCTCCCCTGCTCGGGTCCTGACCCAACTGTCCAGCGCCTTGGGACGTCCTCCCGACGTGAAAGGCGCTCTGTAAATGGAATCTTGTTGTTGTTTATTTAAAGAGCAGTGCGAAATGTTTACACGGGTCAAAATCCTGTAATGCTATAATCTCATCAATTTTCACTTATTTAAGCAAACCACTTTCAACAACCTGAGCAGTGGCAGTTGAGGTTTAGTGAAGGGAAATGTGAGGTGTTGATTTTGGTTTGTGAAAAAACAAGGGAAGGGAGTTATGTTGAATGGCAGTGTCTTGGAAGGAGCTGAAGAACAAAAGGATTTGGGAGTGCAGGTACATTGGTCATTGAAAGTGGCATCGCAAGAGACAAAGGATACAAAGAAAGCTAATGTTTATTGATTCCAACGTCTGCTTCAACTCTGTACACAAGTCCAGGAAATCAGCTTCCCGATTTGTGTTTGAGTTGTAGTGCATTGGGCAGTGAATTGTTCTGCTGCCCAGTAATCGATGCTAGAGTTGCTCACTCACTCTCACAGCTTCTTCATTGTTTAGCACCAACTTTGTTTCCCCCCCAGGTTCGGCCTGCTGCCCCTCAGTATGACAAGTTTACGGAAGTCAAAATCATCAGTCAGGGGAACTGAAGTCAAGAATCCGGTTGGTGCAATTACCTTGTCTTAGTAGAATTAGTACATTCTGTCAATGCAAAATCAATGAAGAAAATATACTCCCACAATTTCTCCCACAAAATATACCCACAATTCGCTTTACAGTATATTCTGTGAAGTGCTTTGAGACATCTCGAAGACGTGATAAGACACTATATCAAATGCAAAGATCATTTCTATTATTATTATAATTTTATAACTATATAAATCTAGTCCGATCATAAGTGAACTCTAAATTGCACAAAATACTTTAATTAAAGTATCCGTGTGAGACTTAAGTTTTTGTTTAGAAGTTGTTGAGAGTGTTCTAAACTCATTCACTGAGTTTAGCAAATTTGCTGCTGTGGCTTGTAACTGTTTTAAGTGTATGCATTTGATTTATATAATGTTGTACCTTGAAACGGCTTTAGTTGCTTGCACAGCAGCAAACTTATTAAACTTAGTGGAAGGAGGATTGTATCCACTTCTCATCACTAGATTTGCTATATTGATTGAATGGAACCAAGTAAACCCCTCAGGGATTTTTGGGGGTTTGGTATTCTTCCCAAAGAGAATAAAACCTCTTCTATAATTCTTGTGAAAGGTGCAGTTAATAATTAAACACACCCACCCTGCTATGTACATAATCCCAGCAGCTCAAAGCACGTGTTGTGAAACAGGCAAATAGTTTTCTGAATGCAGTGAATCCTGCGGCTAAATCAATCATGTTGAAAATGCATCATCCAGTCAGACTCTATAATTACACATCCTTTCTTCCCAGCAACAGAGAGAGCAAGTGCTCCACTGGTGAGGTAAAAGCGTGTACTAATGGGATTGTCAAGGTGTGCCAAACTCACTGGCGTTGGCCTCAATCACACTCACTCGGAGACCACTTTACATTTATGGAATTAATAAATATCATTAGCACTAACTCAGTGCGCCCATCATTATTGAATTATTGTTGAAACCGAGTACAAACTTTTTAAATGTTGAAGCTTAAAGTAAAGAGCAATGTTTCAGTTTGCAATGTATAGTACAGTATGTGTGAATTAATTCATTGCTTTCTCTAAATTCAGTTTCAGTTGACGCACTCAGCTGTCACTCCTTGAAATCTTCTTGATGAAGCTTCTGTGGGGTATTTTGCATTCCTGTGTGCAGTGAACTTGCATTTTTGTATTGCAGCTTCGGTGACCAAAAACAATAAGTAGTGTTTATGATCAGGTAACGGCTAGTGCATTTATGTCAAGCAAGTGAGTAGAACGTTGTAATGAAAGGTTAAGCTGAGCACAGTTAGTGCTAAACTCTGATAAGGATGAATCCTGCTTAATAATAAATCCAATTCAAACATGGATGGACACATGAAACTAATGGATTGAAGTGCTCTCGCCCAATGTTGAAAACGCCCACAAATTCTTATCTCTTCCAAGCAACCAAAGAACAGAAAAGGTTGTTTAAGATGGTTTTCTAAAATGACTTTAAAGCTAACTGTGATCGATTCTGTTTATGAGGTCTCATTGTTTTGTCTTTTTCCTCCAATGTGCTGTTAATCTGACACTGGCGAAAATTGCAGATTGGGTTTATCCAAAGTGGGGGGTGGAGGGGGGGAACTCCATCGCTAAATTACTCCCAGTTTGAATACCAAATTCAGTTCAAGGCCTTTGTTTTGATATTTGATTTATTAAAATATGACACAAATGCACTAGTTTTATGGTTGCCCAATAGTTATGATCATATTTTTATCTTTCGCCTTGGTAACACGATCGACAAATCACCTTATTGTGTAGCTTGTGTGAAGCCCTGTAAATTTTTGACTAGAAATACTGTAGAATGGCAGTAGTCGCCTGGTGAGTCAAGTTGTCAAACTGGCTCACCAGTTTGTTGTGGTTTTGTGGAGGAAAGCTTGCCAACAGTGAGGGGGTGGATTGGACAGGGGTATGAAGCAGGTCTGTGTTCGCTGAGTGGTTGGGTCAGGAGGGTGGCAGGAGGTTGCAGAGGTAGGGCGAGGAAACACCAAGGAGCGATTTGAATGGGAAGACGGGGATCTTGAATTCGATCTGATATTTAAGTGCATGTGTTGTGTGCTACATGGGTGTGAGATTTTAACTTTTAACAAAATGTATATGTGTATTGCACAATTAATGCATGTGAGTTCCAGTGGGCTCACTCCCCGATGTCCAAACAGAACTCTCGAGCTGTCTGTTGCAATTCCTGGGATTTTTAAATGAATCATTGCGACTGACTCTGGAAAAAAAAGTCACCTGATTTAGGTGTGCTGTGCTTGCCCTAAGATGAGGTTGCAAGCCCTGTGGAGTGAGCAGTATAAAGCTGGCTTCCAACTGCACATTGCTGTGACGGAAATGTCAGTAGGTAAGCTGTTTTGCTCCTGCTGAATGCATTGCTCACACTTGTTTGCGGTGTATTCTCTTGCAGGTAGCTGACTCTATCTCTGCAGTGTACAAGAGCTTGTGGCTGTTACTGCATTACTCGTTTCACTGCCTTATTCTGACTTGCTGGAAAGTGAAGGTGTTGGGGGTCATGGTGCCAACCAGCAGGTTCATATTAAAGTTCAAACGTAGAATCGAATTGCACTCCAAAGGTTAGCAATCAGTTTGGCTCTTTGAGCCAAAACTGATTCTAATTTGACCCATCAGGTGAACAAACAGCTGAAGTACTGACCTCTCTTCCAAACAAATGGACTCTCGTCACTGGAGACAAAGTGAAATAAATGGTTCATTGTCTGCCGTGGTGAGCACAATGTTTCAGTTATCACAACCGGGAAAATCCATGAATGTATTGATCTGGTTTACACACCCCTTGTGTTTTTTTTTGAGTACTTGGAGAGAATGTAGAAAATCTTCACACTGGATTTTCCAGAGTGTAAAATCACACTCGAATCACACTGTTGGTTCAAGACTGAACGCGATCTGGGAATGGGTTTCAAACGTTTTAATTTCCATGTATTTTGGTGCAGGTTCTGCCCGCTTCAGTCACGGAAGATGTGCGGCCCGGCTCCTTATTCCATCAGCTGGCAACTTTCCAAGAAGAAGACTCCTCCACCTCTTCCTCCTCTCTCTTTAAACTCGGGTGGCTGTCGAGCATGACAAAATGATCGTGTCGGCTCTTAATCAAAATACTGGTGTAGGGAAGCAGTCCCGAGGGTGAAAATGAACCACAACGCAACATTCTACAAATAAATTATCTTCTAATGTTTTAAAATCACCTGTGTACTTATTGTCAAAGCTGACATGGTGTAAAGAATACACTTGTATCTTCGGAACTACTTGTGGCAGATTTAATGCAGGTTACCATCATTAGGGGAGATGGGTTCTGTTACCCAGTAACTGAGGTTCACTGACAGGTGGGAGGATTTCTAGCTAATAGCTGACACTTGAAATTTTGTGGAACTGGAAATTTATACATTAAAAATTAATATGTAATTAAAGGATCGATACTGTGAGTCAGTTCTGAGTACAGAGCAGAATTCTGTGTAATCCATGCATCTTTTTCTTTGGTGAATACATGTCTTAATTGCTTATTTCCATTGTGTTAACATTATGGGACATGTATGAAAATGCACACATTTCTCACTGAAGACAGAAATATATTTATATTTGGGTGGAAATTCTGTTGCGTTAACAACCACTGATGGGGTTTCCCATAAGCCAAACAGAATTTTTACTTATTTATTTACTGTCTACACCATTAAAATCTTTGTCCAGGGAAAGTGCACTTATCTCTTATCTGGATAAAGTATTGTCTCTTTCGCTGACATGTCCTTGTGCAAATTAACTCTTTGTTTTTATTTTTGCCTTGCTCCTGTTTACATACTTTTAGTGTTTTAAATGAACACTGTTATTGCAGTCCAATAAATTTCCCCCAAAGCATGAGGTTTAACGGCGAAGTCATATCCCCTGCTTGTGAAAATCTCAGCACTGGAGTTTACAGTCCCTGTGCGTTGAATAATCACATCCTAATTTACGGGTTCACTGCAGAATTGTATTTGAAACCTGGCCCAAAATCTTCTGATGGAAGTAAAGCTTTCTTTTCCTCTTATAACATTAATGTTTGGAATCGACATGGGCACATAAACCTCTCACTTAGGCTTCCATCGTGGTATTTTAGCTTTAGTGCCGTTATGCAGATTACACATTCTGTTTTTCTTTAACTTGTCTTCGATCGAATGGATCATCTGGGTTTAAATTAGTACTAGTCAGGTGGTCAATATGGGCAATTTATAATCAGGAATCCAGACACAGGTAAAGCATATATTATTACCTCATGTAATGATTACAAGGTAATTGGATTGCTTTCTCCAATAACTTCTTCCCACTGGATGGCTACAAGTGTCAGCGAGTTTAAAATACAATACAAATTTACATTTGTATAGCTCCTTTAACATAGGGAGGACGTCCTAAGGCGCTAAAAGATGAGTAGAGACTGGAATTAAAGCTCTCATCCCTGACTTCAAATCTAACATTCCGTATTTAAAGTTATTATTACTAGATCCCACCTCCCTCAGAATTTTGTTTCTTTTTACTGTTTACCATGGTGGTTGGTTATTTGCCAAGGGAAGTGGAATTGTAACTGAGCCGTTGAGCTACATTTTATGAGCATTTTGAGTTTCATTTATTCATTGCTGTTTGACTAACCCGTGAGAGTATCCGAGTACCAGGCTGTCTGAGAGATGTCACGTGCAGGCCTGTAAAGTTGATAAGCTGTTAATATTATGACATGTATATTTGGGACTCTTAACTTCTTGGCCCTCAGACTGCAACAAGGTCCGATGATATTATTCCAAGATACCTTGGCTTTTCTTTTTGGAACAATACTTGTTCGTGTCTCGCACCACGTCGCTGAAAGCGTACCTACTCTGCTAGTAATAAAGCTTATCAAATGCCAGGTGTCCATAACTAATTTAAAACCAATACATCTTTTTTTTTAAAAATATTTTTTTTCCCGTTGACATTTTTAAGTTGATTTGTAACGTATCCCATTCTAGATAATATATTGCAATTTTTAAAAAAAAAAAATGCCCCTAAATAAGAATGATGATTGATTCGAGGAGAGAATGACTAGCTTCTTAGCCCAGTCAATGAGTTTTATTAACTTAAGGTATACTTTCTGTACCGAGGCACACACTCGCTGTGCTTTTTCAGCCTGTGGATGGCCTGCCTGCCACTGGGTCTCTTCCAGTGCTACTCTGGCATTTGTATTACAAAAAAATAGCCTCTTAATCTTCCCACCAATTCCATCCCTCACAACTATCCCCCTCCACTGTCGAGTTGCAAAAATGGGAATTGGAGAGTGTGTATGATATTGAGAATTGTTATGAGAATTGTGATACCAGGCATTGCTGCTCTATAAAACCGACTCTTGATTTGCACAGGTATCTGTGTCTTGAGGGGCAGTGCGCAGCCTATCAAAACAAAAATTTAACTGGGAAATGCAAGTTTTATGAATGCTTATTTAAAGGAACCTTCTCTCCACTAATCCGCAATAATCTCGTTTGTGTAAAAAGAATGCTCCCCCTCGTGCTTTGTTTAAGTAGTACACAGATTTTTTTTCAGATGAATGCATTGGATCCTTTGTTTTTAATAGACGCGGAAGAGATTAATCTATTGTCTTTATCCTTAAGGTAACACCTCGTGCTTTCATAGTCGAGACAGCCAACCTGTTACCACTGGGACATCAGTTGTTCACTGAAAATGAATTGACATTTTTAATCTGTAATCTCACTTCCCTTTTCCCGTTAGTTATTTGCAGTACGACCTGCCCCTCTTGTTTAGAGTTTCTGTTTTCTTCCCACTTGTGCCTGGTTCGCGCATACTGTCTCAGTACTTTTTCTGTCAGTCGCTTTTTTTGCAGAAATATATTCTCAACCCCACCCCACCACCCCTTACCTCAAGGCTGCTCTGAATAATAATTCATAATAATTCTCTGAATAATAATTCTTATTAATCAGTGATCTCATTCACTTCATCCCATCAACATTATTTGTGGGATTGTTGCCAGGACACCTGCAGAATCCTTTCCTTCTTTCAAATGGCATCTTTAAAGTCCACCTGAACAATCTTATAGGACCTTGGGTTTAACATCTCATCCGAAGGACGCCACATCCAGCAATGCACCAGCCCCAACGCAGCGCTGCATTGGAGTGTCATCTTAAGACGATGTGAGTTCGAGTCCCGATGTAGGGCTTGAACCTATAACCTTCTGACCCAGAGATGAGAGTCCTACCACTGCATTAGGTTGACACACAATGGCTGAATGACTGATCCTTCGAATGTTCTCCTGTGTGTGTGTGTGTGTGAGAGAGAGAGAGAGTGGTAATGGACATTGCTTCAGGACCGCTCTGACAAGGTATAAGGCCGGTTGTTTTTGTTTCTCTTCCAAGCTCCCTTCTCGGACTGCATTTCCCGTCTTATCAATGTGCATCTGCGTCATGTCTCTTCACCAGCCACAATGGCTTTACATTTAATGTAGTGCCTTTCCCGTCAGGAGGACGTCTCAAAGCACTTCACTGGGGGTCCAAGGTGGGGTATGGGGTAGGAGATGGGCTTTAAAGAGAGCAGGGGGTCAAAAATGGTAGGAAGTTTGCCCCGAATGGTGGAGCGAGATGTGTGGAAAGGGTTGAAATGAGGATTGAATCACTAACAAGAAGGTGCCCGTTAAATAGTCCTCGATGATAGAGCATCATCTAACTGTACGCGACCATCTTAAACCCCGGATTGGTGCTTTTGGGAAAATTATGTTTTTTTTAACAATTGTAAAATAGACCATTGACGCTGTGCAAGGTGGCATGTCAGTGTAAACACTGGTTTGTTTTTTTAATAGAAATCGAACCGTCGCTAAGGTAACGATTCAGGCCGTGGTAAGCATATTGACGGTATTGCGTTTTCTGACCCATTTTTCTTTCCCCCCCCCCCCCCCCCCCCCCCCCCCCCCCCCCCCCTGTGGGTTTCGCAGCATGTTCTTCGCATAATTTCTTAACGGAGAAATATTTCTCATTCCTCGCAGAGAATTTGACAGCGCAGGAGAAGGCCATTCGGCCCATCGTGCCTGAACCCTCTCTGCGTCCCTACGAACTCTCCATTTAGGGAATGACTCCTCACACCCCCACTTCTTCGCCCAGCTAACTCAGGCTTGCTACGTGTTACCTGTCCGCTCCCTGCAGCACTAAACCGTGCTGAGCCTTCAGTTCCTACACCCGATCCGTTGCGAGGGTCAATTTTTTTCTATTCAAAAAGAGCTCCCGTCAAAATACACAGTGACTTACACTTTACAATAAAATAATGGGAAGCGCCTTGGGACGTCCTCCCGATTTGAAAGGCCCTGTATCAAACACAAGACTTATTATTATCATCATCCTTGGTTGACTAACTAAACTACAAGTACAAAGTCCTGACGCGGGTCTTGAATCCGTAACCTTCTGACTCAGAGCTGACTGAGCCAGACTGACACCTGTGTATAAAACAGCACGTGTGTGCGAGCGAATTAAAGGTTGTACGTCTATTTTCAGGCTCAACACGAGTTCTGCTCATGTGATTCTGTCATCTATAATAATACATATGACAATATAACATAATGTACTAATCCTTGCATTTGAGCCCAGAGCATCTGAATGCTTTGGGCTGAATTACTCTTATAACTTACTCCACTCCCAGGTTAGCAGGTATCTGCTATTCTATTTGGGTTCAACTGAATATACAGTCAATTCACTGCACGGTGTATCCTGCGAAGCTCTTTGAGACGTCTTCCACGACGATGGTAAGGTGCTATATCAAATGCGAGGATTATTACTCTCTCCTGATCCTCCGGGGACATGTCTAACGAAGGTCCCTGCGAATTAATGATCCTTGCATCTGACACAGCGCCTTGCGTTGTCTGTCGGGTGGAACGTTTTGAGGCGCTCCCACGGGACTTGCTGCAAAGGGCGGTGGTTTTGTAGGCATTCACCCACAAGTCGTTCCAAGATTCCGCGGCGAATTACCACCGTTGACCTCTGCCAACAACAACTTGCGTCTTACGCAGCGTCTTGTCACGCTGGATAGCGTCCCAGAGCGCTCGACAGTGACGGAGCACCAGGCCGAGCCGGGGTGGGTGGGTGGGTGGGTGGGGGGGGGTGGTGGATGGACAGTGGTAAGTGACTCGAGGCACGGTCGAAGAGGAAGGTCTTCAAAGCGTGACCTTTAGATGGGGAAGGAAGAGGTTGAGGAGGGGACGGAGAGAGAGAGAGAGAGAGAGAGAGCACGTTCCGGGCGCGAGTCCGATCTGAAGCCAAAGAACCCGGCCCGAGTTTGCAACGCCACATCCATCACCGCCGGCGTATCGGCGCCCGCCCTCGGGGCTCCGCCGGGCGCGGTCGGCTGCCGCGTTTGGCCCGCGAACCCCCCTCCCCCCCGGGCGACTCGGCCCGCGGTCTGTCCTGCGGGACGTCCGGAAGGACGTCCGACCAAAGCCCCCGCACCGAGCGCGAGGATCACTATCATGATAGATATCTGCATTTATATACATATCTATATCTATATATCTATCTATAAACCACCAGAGGACTACAGTTCCCAGACTACACCCCCCCCCACCCACCCACCCACCCACCCACTACACCCACACCCCCCCCCACCCTTGTCCTCTAGCAGGAAGAACGTGATGATACGTTGAGAAGTTTGGAGCTGAGTGAACTCACAGCTCTGGCTGATCATGTTAGCTGTGGCTGTGTAATCACTGAGCAGTGTGTCTTATTTATACACACATATATATATATATATGTGTGTCTTTTTTTTTTGCAAGTGCAATTCTTCCTTTGATTGCAGCTGCTTCTCCAAACCCCCCCACACCCACCCCCCACCCACCGAGGTATGCAATCGACCATTGCTCCTGCATTGCGACCACCTTTAACGAGAGAAAACCCAGCATTTTGCCCCAAAAAGACACCCAGGGCGGATGAAGAGGGTTCGAAAACCTGCAACATTTTGCATCTCTGTTGCACAGCTGCAAAGACCAAGTCTTTTGTGATTCCCTCCCTCTCCCTCTCCCTCTCTCTCTCTTTCTTCTCCTCCTCCCCCCACACCCCCCCTTCCACCCCAACCCACCACCACCTCCTCTCCTCCTCCTCCTCCTCCCATTTTCCCCTCCCCTGCAAGCAGGGAGGAGGGAGGAGGGAGGGAGGGAGGGAGGAGAGAAAGAAAGAAAAAAAATGTCGCTGTCAAAAGGAGGTAAGGTTTGCACAGATGCAATAACGTGGGGGGGGGTGTGGGGGGAGAGGGAGATATTATTTGAGCAGAATCTGGCTGTTGCTGTGGCTTTTTTTTTTGCAAAAGAAACCTGACGTGTGTTGCAAAATGCATGGGTTGCACCTTGAGGTTTTGCAGCAAAAACACACACACACACACACACACACAAGAGCCCCAGTGTTAAGTTTCGTGGTGGGAGGGGGTTGGTGGGGGGGGGGTTGGTGTTTGCAGAGAGCTGATGAATGCATTTCCTGTTTGAGCTGAAACATTTTGCATTTTTTTTGCAGGGAGTGTGTGAGAGAGAGTGAGTGAGTGAGTGAGAAAGAGAGAGAGAGAGAGAGGCAGAGCTGCTGCTGCTGTTGGGGTATTTTTTATTGCACTGTTCAGCTGAACACTGACGTATTTGCATTCCGATTTACTGGGATTAACAGAGCTCAGGGTTAGCTTTTCCTTTGGTGCAGACGAGCCCTGTGGTGCATGAAACAGCATTGCAATGGAGAGGAGGGTGGGGGTGTGGGGGTGGGGGGGGAGGTGTGGAGTGGAGAGGGAAGGAAAGGGGAGAGAGAGAGAGGGTGGGTGGGTGGGTGGGTGTGCAGAATCATGTTTTTTTTTTAGTTTGCAAAGAATGCATTGCATGCCAAATGTTAAAGCTGAATGCAACACCAAAAATGTTCTTCTTTTGGTGGTGGGGGGGGGGGGGGGGGGGGGGGGGGGGACTTGTGAAAAAAAAGTGAAGTGGGTGCAAACTGCTGCACTTTTGCATCGAAAGCATTTCTTTTTTTAAAAAAAATGTGAATGATATGATAATAATAATGCAAAGTGCAATCTGCAGATTGTCTGTGTGAAACCTGTGTGGGGGGAGGGGTGGGGTGGGGGGGGGGTTGGGGGTTGGGGGGGGGGGAGAGAAACCAAAGTCTTACTTTTGTTGCAAACACCTGAATTGCACCCTGAAAGAAATTGCACCGCATTTGCTTGATTATTTTCTTTGCCCCGCCACCTTTTTTTGGTGGGGGGGGTGGCGGGTCGGTGGGTGGGTGGGTGGGTGGGGGCGGTTTACGCAGCGATCTTCAAACTCTTCTGCATCGCATTGCACAACCGGTTGGTTGCAAAGTCGGAAGCAGAAATGCATACTAACGACACACCACAGCACAGCCCCTTTGGCCATGGATCCTGCGCAGTAAAAGTTCCTGCGTTCACTTTGTAAACGCGTTGCAATTTCCACCCCCCACCCCCCCCCCCCTTTTGCAGATGCGAGCTCTCATTGAAACTCCACGCGATGCCAATTTGAAACCCCTTTCCTCTCTACCCACCGCCGCCAACGACAGCCTATCCAGCAGTGACTCTCTTGCCTTTCTTTACAAGTTTTGCAACCACAGCACAAAACATGTACGTGCGACGTGGTGCCTCGAGTTAAAAAAAAAGGGGAAAGGGGCTTTACATCGAACAGACGCCTTTCCCAGTGGCATAACGCTTCCGAGCAGCTATTGGCGGCTTATTCACACAAGCCGGGTCCTATCTACCTGCACGACGCTCTTTTTTTTGTCCTTTATTTGTGGCTCTCAAAAAGGCCTTTCAGTCGCCAATTTCAATCTGTGATCGTGACCTGTTACGGTCCTAATAATCCCTGCCACTTTGTGATTGCGCTACGCGACTGGAACGTCTCAAAGCACTTTGCAGCCCTTGCTGTTAGGTGTCGTGACTGTGTGTTTTGTAGGGGGCAAACACCGCGCCCGATTCGCGCGCAGCAGTGCCCCACAAACAGACATGGAGTAGGCGACCAATTTCATCTTGGGTGGGGTGGGGTGGGGTGGGGTGGGGTGGAGTGAGGGGGCCGTTTGTTGGTCAGGACAGTGGGGGAGAGAAGAAACTCTTTTCGAAGAGTGCCACAGGATCTTTAACCCACTTGAACAGGCCGACGGAAGCTCGGATTAATGTCTCATCTGAAGGACGGCACCTCTGACAACTCAACACCCCCCCCCCCCGCCCCCCAACCCACCACCCCTCAGCACTTCATTGGAGTGTCATCCATGTGATTCCAAGTCCCGATGCGGGGCTTGAACCCACAATGTTCTGGCTCGGAGGCAAGAGCATGACCAGTGGGTCGGGCAAGCGTATGATACGGCAGAACCAACCCACCGGCGGACCTGTCTACGTGTTTAATTCTCTGCAACGTCAGATTAAACCATGTCGTTTAGAACGGACGGACGTGGTTTCTGATACCCACGAGGCAATCGCTCGTGCAAAAATTCCATTTTGGTGGGGGGGGGGGGGACGACAGCAAAGCAGAGCTTTTAATCAACTTGTGCGAACTATTTAGAAAACATAGTTCATAAATTCTTACAGTATTCTCAGTATTCTGCCGTGCAAGGTCAACCAGTTGGACAGGGGTGGTGGGGGGGGGGGGGGGGGAGGGTGAAGGAAAAATCGTTACGATTTTGGTGGAGGAGGATGTGCATACTGTCTAATTTTACAATTTAAGACCAATTATTTCATTATCTCGAAAGTAATTGATTTTCATGTGAAACGCTGCTCGGCTCTTCAGCAGAGAGTCGCCGCGGAGAATAAAGGGGGTGCCAGAAATTCTTTCCCTTGGACTTTCAAGATCCTGTGACGCTGTTCGAAAAGTGAAGGGAGTGACGGAGCCAAGCTGCGTACAGAGGAATTACATTAACATAAGTTCCCTGTAGCAGAGAGCACCGGGGTGGGCATGGGTTGGTTGGTACCAGATCCCATTCCTGGCCACATGGGCCTCAGTCGATCTGCCTTGCTTCTTGCTTCTAATCGTCCGTTCACTCCTTCAAAAATAACTCTGTCACCTGTTAGTCCACCCGGTCAAATATAGCCCCTGCCAACTGTAGGGAAAGTGGAAGTGATATGCCAATCGCAGCAAAATGCCACACGCACCCTCCTGTTGTATCTCCAACACGCGGTTTAGTTTCTCATTGCCTTGTTGCCCTTCGGCCTGCGGGCAGACAGACAGACAGACAGAGACTTAGGCAGTCGAGGTATTAAAGGGATCTGATGAAAGGGCCATGCATTAATATTAACCCTCGGTCACCATCCTACCCTTACCCTCCCTGCCCTCCACCCTTGCTGATCCCAACCCCCAGCTCGTGTCCAAATTCCTGACTGTCCAGCGCCTTGGGACGTCGTAGCGACGTGAAAGGCGCTGCACAAATGTAATTTATTGTTGTTAAAAGATGGGGCCAGGATCTAACAAACTGGTTGAACAGGTTCGATGAAACTGAATGACCTCCTTCCGTTCCTGTTTTCCTATGTGTTCCTTAGGCAGATAAGCTGGAGGATGAATGCGTTTGAGTTGTCGGCTCGTGTGTAACGTGCGTCCGTTGTATATTAATTGTGACGATTTCAAATGGTCTGATCTTAAAGCTCCTTATTTACTGCACACAGTGCGCTGGCGCTCCTGATACCGAAAACTGGTTCGTTCGTTCGGTCGTCGTTTTAGACAGGTTTTATTTTATTTAATCCCCCCCCCCCCCCGAAACCCAACACAACCCGTTTGTTCCTCGTTGGGCTAACTTGCTCAGCTATTTTATCACCGCTTGGCCCAATGGTAAGGCAGGCAAATAATGGGCAAGAATGTGGAGCATTTCTGCCGTGCCTCATAATCGAGGAATTCTGATATCGCTCCCGTCTCGTTCGTTCATCGGAATTCCTACCCCGGTTTCAGGAGCTGCTATCTTGACGTACACCAACTCATTTCAGCCCTATTATTTTTCTTCCCACCTCGCAACGTCTCTGTGGGAGGTTTGTGCTGTGGGTACCAGAGTGGATGAGCACTGCTGCTCCTCGCGTATTTAAAGCAGACAGTGCGGGGTGAGGCCTCGGCAGTTTTAGTTGTATCAGGACTGTCGTCAAAACGCGTTGAACCTGAAAGCGCTTTTAAAAAACACTTTTACAACTCTTTCTTACGCACTTTTCAAAAAAAAAAAAAAAAAGTGAACCCCAGAGCGGCTTCAAAGTGGAGGCCGACTGTAAGAATTTACCAAATTCTGGGCATTCTGTAACGAGCAGAGATCAAACAGAGTAAATGTAGACCCGGCAATTTGCCATGAAGCGAATGACCTATTTTATTCGGGGGCAGGAGGAGGGTGGGGGGGCGATGGGTAGGGAGGCAGGGGACCGTAGAGGGGGGGGGTGGGGTGTTGATAGCCAGGACACCGGGAGGAACTCCATTCTGGCATCCCGATTGCTGCCTCCGGCTAATTCAGCCTGGTCCAGGATTCGAACCTGCAACTTTCTGGGTTGCTTTACCTCCCCTCGACCAAAAATAATCTGGTCAATCGATCCGCGACTGTTTGTGGGAACACTGCTGCGCGCAATCGGCCGCCACGCTTCTCCCACGTAATACGCAGGCGATCCCCATCACGCTATGGTCTGTGCGCGAAGAGCATTGCGACGACTGAACGAGGTGATAAGACGCTATATCAAAACGCAAGGATTATTATTAACCGCCCGCTCACCAGCACGCAGGTGGAGAGAAAGGCCTGGTCCAAACAATTTCGACATCAGGGATTAGCGCCCGGTATCTCATGCAGTGAATGGGTCCTCCGGGAATGTGTGGGGGCATTTCTTTATAATAACCCCCTTTCTCTCTCTCTCTCTCTCTCTCTGATTCTGTCTCAACAGGTAAGAAAAAGAACCCGGGGCTGAAGCTGTCAAAGGAGGTCTTCGAGCCCCAGGCCAGCCCAACGTGAGTCCAAACAGGAGCGAGCTCTCGGCCCCGCTTAACCCTCACTGCATTCCCGTTCATCCCGTATCCGTTCCTTTCAACCCTGTTTTGTCGGATTACCACCCAAAGTCTCGTCCATCTCTCACCCCTTCCCTCCCCACCTCCCTCCCCCCCCCAATTACATTGCAGGAATCGCAATTGAACTGAAAACTCCGGAATGATAATTCTCCGGAATGCTGCTCGGACTCTCTCGGCTCACATCCGTCCTTCGGGCGAGATGTTGAACCGTCATCCCGTCTGTTCCTGTAAGGATGGACGTCAAAGAATCCGTTTCTCCTAATTTGTTGGCTAACCCCCCCCCCAACTACTACTCGCCCACCCGATAAGTATCAGTCATTCACTTCATGGCTGTTTGTGGGATGTTGCTGAGCGCAAATTGGCTGCCGCATTCACCTACAAAATACACAGTCACTCCACTTTACAGTGAATCCAGCGAAGCGCTTTGAAACGTCCTCCCTTCAGGAGAGGCGCTGTGCCAAATGCAAGGATTATTATTGATTAAAGTCGGGACTGAGGTCGGAGACTGAGTGGCATTCCCGAGGGTCGGAGTTGGGAATTCTTTCGCCAGTCCCAGGACTTAGAACCCCTTCCCACCCCCTCCCCAGCCATATGTACAATTAGAGCCATGTTTCGGACAGTAATTTTGATCCTATTACCAGGCATCGATTTGATGTCTTGTAGAGGTTGAGTCTTTGGTCACATAAACCGTAACTGCGGGTTTCTCAGTCTGGCTTTGCGGTGTGTGGATCTGACTATTGTTCTGTTTATAGGGCGCCAAGAGACTTGGATTCCAAGGCTTGCATCTCAGTGGGCGAAAAGGTGAGTTGCATCACCCACAGCCCGAGACAGGGGCTTAGAGGACGATCCACCCTGAAAATCTGGTCTAATAGAACTGTCACTGACCAGTTGGTGTTGGTGGCTTTGTCCACCGGAGGGCGTCACAGTAACACTGCACGGCGCCCCTTGTCTGAATAATATAATAATACCGCAATAATTTAGTAATAATAATCCTTGTATTTGGTTTAGCGTCTTTCCCGTCGGAAGGTCGATCCCAAAGCACTTCGCAGGATTTACGTGGAGTGTGCAGCAGCCGCTTTGCGCACAGCAATGTCCCACGAACAGCCATGGATTGACGAGAAGTTAAACTGAAGTCCTGGCCGACTGTCCAGACGGTGGTTAAAGATCCTGCGGTACTATTCGAAACGAGAAGGGAGTTTCATTTCATGGCTGTGTCCGGGACGTTGCTGTACACGAAGCTGGCCCGCAAAGTGCACAGTCACTGCACTCTACAGCATATCCCGTGAAGCACTTCAAGCCTTCCTCCCGATGTGAAAGGCGCTGCGCCAAACCTAAAGAGCTTATGAATGATTTAAGGGTCTTGCAAAGCCGCAGCGCAACACGTAGGGCACCGGAGGGTGGAAGCAGTGCATAAATTCTCCTGCAGGGAGTTTATAAACCAGTTAAGTGTTGGAATTATTATGACGACATTTAACACTGTGGGCGAGTGAGCAGGCGAACGCTCGTGACCTCCGCGTGGCATCGAGGTTTTAGCCGGAGGAGAAAAAATCCGAACAAATGCAATAATAATCCTTGCATTTGGTACAGCGCCTTATCGGGGCGTCGGGACGGCTCGAAGCGCTGCACGGAATGTACCGTGAAGCGGATTGAACTGTATCCTCTGGGCGAAAAGTGCCAGGTTTAGCCATTCTCCGAGGAACTTCGCTCTTTCTTTTGAGCGTCAACATTTCGTTTCCTTTCGCCTCCCGCTTCCACGAGCACGTCGTCTCACTGCTGCATGGTGGGGGGGGGGGGGGGGAGCGTGGGGCCGGCGGGGGTTCCGTGTGGTCGGAGTTGCCGTCCTTCGGAGGAGATGTTACACCGCGGTCCGGCCCGCGCCTGTTTTTAACGCCAGGCGGGCGTTAAAAGGGCTGATTGCGCTGCTTGGAAAGAGAAGGGGGGGGGGGGGGGAAGCGGGCGGCTACAGGCGGTTTTGCCTGTAACCTCGGAGGATGGATGATCATCCGTTGCTGACCCCTCTTTATTTCTCTCTTTCCCCCCCCCCCCCCGCCAGAATTTTGAAGTGAAGGCTGATGACCTGGAGCTGCTGTCGGAGTTGGGCCGCGGGGCCTACGGGGTGGTGGAGAAGATGCGTCACACGCCCAGCGGCACCATCATGGCGGTCAAGGTGACGTTCCCAACGTCCCGCGGGGCTCGGGGCCCGGGTGGGGGGCCGGGAATCGGCCGTGGGCGCTCTCACCTCGCGCTCGGGAAGTTTGCGGGTTCAACGAGCTCCCCCCCCACCCCCTTGAAGACGCACAGACGTCGCACCGTGACATGACCGCCTGACAAGTGTAGTGACTGTGTATTTGTAGGCAAACACCTCCCGATAGTGCAGAACCACCCCCCCCCCCTCCCCACTCCAACCCAATGAGGTGTCAGCCTAATGTTCCACAGTGGGGTTTGAACCCACAGCCTTCTGACCCAAATGTGAGGGAACTGGGTCAGGCTGATACCTGTTGCACATCTCTTTCTCTCACTCTCTCCCTCTCTCCTCTGTCCTCCTCTTCTATTTCTCCGGCCCTTTTTCTATCCCCCTATTTCTCATAATCTTTTTTTTTTCTCTCTGTTGCTTCCCCTCTCTTTCCCCCTCTCTCTCACTCCCTCTCTTACTGTTTCTCTCTTTTCTCTCTCGTTCCCCCCTCTGACCCTTTCTCTTTCTCTCCCTCTCGCTGGCCTTTCGACGAAATTATTCGGACCCGCCGGCCTGGTGAGGGCACCGCAGACAGATGTTCCGCGAGTGGAAAGTATTCCCGGGGAGACAGCTGAGGCCATTCCAAGTTTTTATTTTTGCTCTTAGTGTTTTAAAGGAGCAAAATAAAGGAAAGTTAAATCCGTTCCCATTGAGAAGTGGGGGGGGGGAGAGAAAAAAGGATTAAGAGAGATTCATCTCTCAACCGAAGGACAGACATATTATCCCAAGCCAAGAGCTAAATTTAGGATCAGAAACAACTTGATCCTCGAAGGTTCAAGATACTAACCTGATGCTGCGGAAAGCTTGGCACCATCGATGTGTTGAGAGAGGGAGCGAGAGAGAGAGAGAGAGAAAGACAGCGATTGATTCACAGGGAGTTTGGAAGTTTGGTGGGAAGGGGATTAGAAACCGGGAAAGGAAGTGGAGGAGAGGGCGAGGTGGGAATCGCGCCTCGTCGCGGCAACTTGCATTTATACCTCGCCCTTCAGGAGGGATAGAGTCCCGGAGCGCCTGTTGTTGTCGTTCAAGCGCTCCGAGACGCTAGCTCGCACGATGGCTGATCTACCTTGTTGTTGTTGTTGTGGGGAATCTGGGAGGATGGGACCGGAATGGTCTGAAGGATTTTCTTCATCCCAACCTCTCTCTCTCTCTCTCTCTCTCGGGATCTCTCTTCAGATCTTCTTCCTCGTCCCTAGTTTCCATCCAGCCTCGCTCGTTGGTCCGTTTTTGCTGTGATTTGCGGTGCCCTCTCTCTCCTCTCTCTCTCTCCCCCCCCACCCACCCCTCCAACCCTGTGGTTCTAACAGTCCGTGCTGTGTCTCTCCCCCTCTCCCGCCCGCCCCCCCACCTCCAGAGAATCCGGGCCACAGTGAACAGCCAAGAGCAGAAGCGGCTGCTGATGGACCTGGACATCTCCATGAGGACGGTCGATTGTCACTTCACAGTCACTTTCTACGGGGCTCTGTTCCGCGAGGTAACTCTGCTGTGCTCGGCGGGGGGTGGGGTGGGGGGGGGGGGGGGAGAGAGGTAGCGAGACCTTCACATTCACATGAGGGAGAGGGGAAGAGAAGGATAACCCCGTCATAGGCTGATTGTTTCCGGGGCTGGACTGTCCGCGTCAATCTGGGACACCCTCCGTAAACCTGCGCAGGATGTGGGGCGGCGGGAGAAGCGTTTCCGAAAACAACAAAACAGGAGGAGGCCATTCAGCCCCTCGAGCCTGTTCCGCCATTCTATAAGATCATGGCTGATGTGAACCTCAAGTCCAATTGCCTCGCCCTTGCCCGTATCCCTTAATACCCGGACCCAACAAATATTAGGTCAGGGTTGTCCTCGCTCCCTGGCCTCCCGTGTCTGGCCAACCTCCCACCTGCCCCCCGCCCGCCACATACATTCATCTCCTCCGCCCCCCCCACCCCCCCCCCCCGTTTTGCTCGCACGCTCGTTTGCTCACTCTCTGCGGTTCTGATCGATCTTCTCCGCCCACCCCCACCAACCCCTTCCCTCCCTTCCTTCCCTCCCTCCCTTCCTCCCTCCCTCCCTCCCTGCCTCCCTCCCTCCTTCCCTCCTTCGTTCCATCCATCCATCCATCCATCCTTCCATCCTTCCAGGGCGATGTGTGGATCTGCATGGAGCTGATGGATACCTCGCTGGACAAGTTCTACAAGCAGGTGATCGACAAAGGGATGAACATCCCCGAAGACATCCTGGGCAAAATCGCTGTCTCCGTAAGTCCACCTTCGCGGCATTTAACCCTCCGAGCTCCACATCCGCCGGGAAACTCTCACTCGCTATCCGAGGAGCACGATTTGATGTTACAGGCGCTGTGTCCAAATGCCGTTGGTTATCTGTTAGTCTATCAATCTCTCTCTCTCTCTCTCTCTCTCTGTCTATCCATCGATCGATCAATCAATCGATCTGTTGATCTCTATCTCTCGATCTGATCTGTTCATCGCTGTAACTGTCGGGCGCTGAGTTGCTCTGTAACCTTGCCGACCACTTGCTTTTCAGATAGTCAAGGCCTTGGAACATCTGCACAGTAAACTGTCTGTGATCCACAGAGGTAGGTGTGCGTCTGCGTGATCGTGAGTGGGAAGAGGGTGGGTGAGAGAGAGAGAGAGAGCGTTAAAGCCAACTGATAAGCCGAGAGCATAATTCTTCACCGCTTCCTCCCAATTACTGTAAATTACTATCACAACGAGTGCTGTATTTCTGCAGCAGAAACGGCTCGAAGGATTCCACTCCGCTCTGATCGACGAGGCTCTCGATTAACTGGACAGAGTCACTTTGATGGGAGTCAGTGACCTCCCTGTTTTTTCTCGGCCGCCTTTATCAGCCCGAAGGGTCCCTCAGACTTGGGTCTTGCATCAGAGGGTGGGTGGGTGGGTGGGTGGAGGATGGAGTACTGTAAATCGCAGCCCACTGCGGTGGGTGGGGTCGGGGTCGATGTGAGATGAAGTGGGTGGGGGGGGGAGGGGACCAAAGTGCTTGGAATGAACGTACGGCAAACTCTCTTTCAGACGTGAAACCGTCAACGTGTTGATAAACACGCAAGGTCAGGTTAAGATGTGTGACTTCGGGATCAGCGGCTACCTGGTGGATTCCGTGGCCAAGACGATGGACGCTGGGTGCAAACCCTACATGGCTGTGAGTAGTGTACGAACAAACCCACCCCCTACCCACACCCAACCCCCGCCTCCCCCCCCCCCCCCCCCCCGGACGGACACTGAGGACTGAGCAGAGGAACAGTCGTAGGCACGTCACTGACTCACACGGATTGCGGCTGAATTCCCCCACGCCCCACCCCCCATCCCTCGCGACCGAATAATGGTAATAATAATAATTATAATAACAATAACCTGTACATTTGATACCCGGTTTGCTGTGACTGTAGTGACTGCGCGTCTCTCTGGAGGAGAGAGGGAAGCGTGTGTTCCCATTCCAGACGTGGGGAAATTCCACCCGCGGGGGCGGGGGGGGGCATGAGCAAGTGAACCTGTCGAGTCTGGTTTAGATCCTCCCCCCCCCCCCGCCCAAGCGTGGCGACTGGTTTCCGCACGGAGTTGGGTGCCCGGCTGGTCACAGCGACGGGTTGCCACATGTGTGGCGGACACTGGCCGATCGGGGCGAGGGGTTTGCCTGGTTTTGCTGCCCCTCAGACCTTTCTTCTTCACAGCCCGAGAGGATTAACCCCGAGGTGAACCAGAAGGGTTACAGCGTCAAGTCGGACATCTGGAGTCTCGGGATCACCATGGTGAGAGACGCAGCTCAGCCCAGGTTCACTGAGCTGTACAGCTCTGAGGGTTGGGGGAGGAGGGGGGCGCGGTGGGGGGTGGTGGTGTTTGAGTGGGAAGGGAAGGAGGATGAGAGAAGGTGAGAGTTAGGGATGGGGAGTGAGGGCGTGTGGGTGAGGGTGGAGAGAGGGCGGGGGTTGGGAGGGAGGTGGAGGGAGGAGGGAGCGAGGGAGGGCGCAGTGAGGTCTGACCTGTGCCGTTTCCCTGCAGAACGAGCTGGCCATCTTGCGGTTCCCGTACGACTCGTGGGGGACGCCTTTCCAGCAGCTCAAGCAGGTGGTGGAGGAGCCCTCCCCCCAGCTTCCCGGAGACTTCTCCAAAGAGTTCGTGGACTTCAGCGCTCAGTGGTAAGGACCCGACTGCGAGACCCTCCGCTCTTCACGCCCATTGCACCCCATCCTCACTGCCCCCCATGTGACCGATTGGCCTGAAAATGTATGGGAACGAGAGGCATGGGTGGGGGGGTAGGAGGAGGGGGCGCAGATGGGGAGAATTCTTAAATCCGGCCCTTAGAAATTTTCTCCCACACAGCTCAGTCGGTCACACGATCGCTCCCTCATTTGCTCTGGAGATTTGGAGACCCGTAGCTTAGTGGTCAACCGCGCTCGCCTCCCAAGGCCAGAGGACCCTGGTTCGATTCCCGGGCGGGACAGGACAGGGCGAGACCTTAGCCGAGTTTCTATACTCCACGCGCCGCGGCTTACTAGGCGGTCCAGTAGGAATCCGGTTGTTTCGGGGGTGACAATTCCTCCAAAAATAAAGATGGGGGTCACTCAATCCACGGCTGCGGTCGAGCCTTCCTCGTCGGTCGGTCGGTCGGTCGGGCGCTCGATCCCTCGCTCCAGGCAGGAAGCAGTCTCACCTTGATTGCCGGGGGTGGTGGGGGGGGGGGGTGGGAGCGCGACACAATAAAACATGACACGTAACAAGCTGATTACCGTAACCGACAGATCATTTCCTTTCTTACTGCGACGTTTGGGATTGAGGGTGGGGGAGGATTAGAGAGATTTTCTGAAAACGCTCGAGGAAGAGACTAGAATAAGATATCCTGTACCATCATCAGACGCGGTCTGGCTTTTGATGCTCCCTGGGCTTCCCCTTTGAGTTTTCAAACAGGACAAAAACAGTGGCCGGGTCTGCGTGAATCACCCCCTCCCCGCCCACCCTGACCGTCCTGTTTTCAGAAGCAAATCACATCCCCCGTGAGAAACGAGACAGGAAATAATGCCCTTGGCTCAATAACTCATATTCCTATTGTTCTGGAGGACCATTTACTCGTCGGAAGGTAATTTGTCTCTTTAGTGAGCTGGAGGCGCCGGTCATTCGGGGTCGCTTTTGGGTCGATCGGAAACCTGGTCCTTTTGCACGTGTTAGCATTTCACCAGGGCTGACCCTCGCTCAGACACCTGTGCTCCAGCCGGTGGTTTACAGTTGCCACCCAGAACCGATAGCCCACAGCCCCCCTCCCACACATAGTTACTCTCACCAGCACTTTACTGTCAGCACGTTCCGCTCAATGGCGTCTACGCTGTCTGTGTGGCGTCTACGGTCCGTAGCGCTCTCGTCTTTCGAGTCAGCAGTTTGCGGGTTCAAAGCCCATGTCGCGACTTCGAGGTCACCGTGCAGGATGAGACATTAAACTGAGGTCCTGTTAAGGGGGACGTTATAGATCCCGTGGCACTGCTTGAAAAGTTTTTCGCCCGCTATCCTGGGCGCACAGTCACCCCGGCTTAAAACTGCTCACTCCGCTTCACGGCTGTTTGCGGGACATTTACTGCGTGCAAATCGGCTGCCCACAGAGTTTGCCTACAGATCACTGTGTAGTCACTTTACGGTAAATCCCGCCGAGCGCTTCCAGTGTTTTCTCGTCCTTTCGTTACAGCCTGAAGAAGAATTCCAAAGATAGACCAACGTACTCAGAACTTATGGTAAGGGTCGGCCCGGCAGCTCTCTCGCCCGCCATCAATGTGTGAACCTTTCTGTTTGCGTTGGACTCGGGTCAGTCGGACAGCAAAGTGCGCGGTTGTTGTACAGTCCAGTCTGTCTCCCTACAGACGCTACACGTCCCGTTAGGGGATCAAAGCAACAAAAAGGTGCCGGCCTTTTTGGACGAGCCGTTAAACCAAGCCACTCGTCCAGTATGGACAGGTGGAGGTTTTAAGGTCCTGCGCTACCCAAGAAGAGGAAGGGGGGTTTCTCCCGACATCCTGGCCGACAATATCTTCCCCCCCCACCCCCACCACCCCACCACCTGTCCCACCCACCCTCATTTTACCCACAAAATATACAGTCAATTCACTTTACATTCTGCGAAGACGTCACAAAGATGTGAGAAGGCGCTATATCAAATGCAAGGATTATTATTATTATTACGTATGTACTAATTTACCGGTAGCGCATCACATTACTCACGCGCAGTGGAGATTATTGATTAAATTGGATTTAATACGATTGATACACTTTGCCCGAAACTCGGCCTTGGCGTTAAGTCGGGTTTAAATGTTAACGTGCGTGTGATGATTAACACGTGTGCTTCTCCCGTGTTCTCTGCAGCAACATCCCTTCTTCACGCTACACGAGTGCAAAGAAACTGACGTGGCGTCTTTCGTGAAGCTTATCCTGGACTGACGGGTTTCCCCCCCGGGTCCAGCCCCGGGCAAATCCCGCAACGTCCTGCTTTGGAATGAAATCGGCGGGGAATTCTCTGCACTCGATCGACCCGGAGCCAGGCGAGGGCTCAGCCAGCTGAACCCGTCACACTGGCAGGAAACGGACGGTGAAGTGGGGTGGGTGGGGGGGTGTTGGGGTAGAGGGAGGGAGGGAGATTCATTAGGTTTTTTTTTTGTGTCGTTGAAAGCAAACCCCAGACTCTCGTTTCTCTCCCTACCTCCAGGAGACACGCTCTCCCCGATGTTTCTCTCGGACTCTCCTGACCGGGCTCGTTTTATTAAAAAGAACACGCGCGCACACACACACACACACGCGCACACATACACGCACACGCACACATACACGCGAAGAGGCAGGACTAATTATCGGTTTTAATTTATCTCTTTAACGATTTTCTTTCTGGTCGCCACGTGCTCATTTTTTAAAAAAAAAAATCTTCTGGGAAAGGGCTGTGGCTACACTACAGGGAACGGGGCTGAGGATTTTGTCACTTTAAAGGATCGTTTTTATTCAGTGTCTGCGCGCGTGAGTCCGTGTTCATCTCTGCACATGGCTCGGTGCGCGTGTCTGCGTGTGTGTGTGTGCGTGTATCAGGTACACACTAAATGTCCTTTGAGCACCACAGTAATCCCCAGTGTGGTGAAGGGAAAAGATTACTTACCCCCCCCCCCCCCCCCCCACCTCTCTCTCTACGCGCTGACACTCAGCTCCACTTTTACGGCCAGCCTCCATGCTCTTCTCCCCGACACCCCCACCCCGGCCCTTTGGGGGTTTAGATGTGTCACCTCTTTCCATCTTCCCACGTTTGAGTGCTCGGCAGTGATGCGGAGGTCAGCAACTTACCGGTTGAGCCCCGAGGGGAGAGCGGATCGCTGCCCAAAGCGACTGTTTGAATCGGATCGTGTAGCGTTTGTCAAGCGGAAGCTGGACCTTCGCGTGAAGGGAGAGGCGGAGGACGGGAGGAAGGGAGGGAGTAAGGTGCGGGTGAAGACACACGAGGACAAATAACACCAGCGCAGACCGGTCGGGTTGAGTGGCCTGTTTTCCGCGCTGTAAAACCTTTGTAAATTCTCGTGCGTACCTGTGACCCGTGCGCATGCTTTGTGTGCGTCCGGGCATCCGTGCGTGAGATTGGCATTTGCCCACAGCCTGACCCTCCCTCCACTCTCTGCTCTTCTCCGACCCACCTCCCACCCCACCCCCCCCAACCCCCCCCGCCCCCAAATCTCTGCACACACTCCCCACAAGAACGTATTTGACATTTGCTTTACAGCAGTTTGCACAGACCCATGGATGTCTCGTCTTTTTGGGATGAGGCTGAACAAAGTGACTTGAACATTTATCGCATGCTGCTAACCCCCCCCTCAAACCCTACCCCCCCCCCACCCCCCCCCCCACACACTGAAGGTTTAACCAGGATTAATTCCTCGTTACCCGCTGTCCTCTTGAACGTCCGCCAGGCCACTTGGCGAAGGGACGCACTTTTGCCCCCTCTCATGCCCTGGCGTTCTGAGTTAATAGTTTTACTAGGTAGTTTAGGACGGTTACGATGTGGAATATTAATGAACCACTTGAACCAGTTAACTAGTCTTGGTTTGAGGTGAAAAACGGTAGAAGAAGCGTGTTCTCAATCGCGTTCTCGATCCGCTTGACGTGAGAGTGCGCGCTCGTGTGTGTGTGTGTGTGTGTGTGTGTGTGTGAGGTTTAAGTCCTTTTTAAGTTGTATATACGTGTACCGCACGAGTTGATTGCGTTTTTATCGTGTTGATGGCCGGTGTATTAATTTTGCTTGATTTCCGTGGAGGTCAAAAGGCTTGTGACGAGCGAGTGTGTGTGTGTGTGTGTGTGTGTGTGTGTGTGTGTGTGAACGAGCCCAGGTCAGAGCTGCTATTTCTCGATTTCCCCCCAAACCCCCCCCCCACCCTCCCCACCACTGCCACCACCACTGACGGGAAACTTTCTGTGATGGCCCCCAGAAACTTGCCCACGCGGAAAAAGGGCTGAGCAAGCGTTGGAACAGTCAGTGATTTGCAGTGGCTCTCAACGCTGACCTATACCAACCAGATTGTTGGCTTTCAGTACGTTCCTTGACGGTAACGCGAGGCTAATGACCACTAGGAGGCGCTGCAAGACTTGTTCGGTGCTATCTCACGCCCCAATGAAATGGTCACCGAACCCCCTGAGACAACCCAACACCCAGGTTCCAAAGGGCTCCGTCCCACAGTCCCCTCGCCTCGCTCCCTCCCTCCCCCCCCTCGCCTCCTCTGGGGCCCGTCTCAAGACCCTCCCCCTCGACTGTGACTTCAGGCACCCTCCAACCCCCAGCCCTCCCCGCCCTCCGCCCCCTCCTGATCCCAAACCCCAGCTCGGGTGCAAATCATTGACTGTCCAGCGCCTCAGGACGTCCTCCCGACGTGAAAGGCGCTGCGTGAATGTTATTTGCGACTGTAAATTGCCCGGGGAGCTCGTCTCTGAACCGCAGAGGTTGATGGTTGATGGGGGCAGGACAAGGCCATCCAACTCATCGTGCCTTTGATGGCTCTGTGAAAGAGATCTCCCTTTCCCATCCAATTCCCTTGCCTGGTTCCTTCCCCCACCTACACCCCACTCCCCCCCACCCCACCCCCACCCCCATACCGCCCACCCACCACTACATACACACACGCACCGCACCGCACACAACCTTTTGCAATTTCTCCCCCATTTACGTATTTATCCAATTCCCTCTTAAAACGTGTCGAAACATCTCAAAGCTCTTCAGAGGGCTTTACTGTAAGGTGTAGTGACTGTGTGTTTGTCGGCGACGGCTTGTAATATCTCTCGACCCCTCCCCCCTCTCTCTCTTCGCGGTCGGATCAGGAGAGTTAACTCCTGTAAATGTATATTTATTGCTTCCCAAGTTTTTATTCCCGACCCTTGAATTCCCGGTGATTTTAGCACAGACAAAGCGCGCGGTGGGGTGGGGGGGGGGTGTGGGGGGTGGTTTACTGGTTGTTTTTCATCGAAACGCTGTGTAAAAGCACTGGTGCGAAACAGCCAGAAGATGGCACTCCAGTGACACAAACACACGCAGCGCTCTGAGGAACAGTGATTCCTTCAAGAGAGGTCATGTGCGATCTCTGAAAATAAAGTGTGTGCGAGCGCGTGTGTGTGTCACTATGAACGGGTGGATATTCCCCTCCCCGCCCCCCCCCCACCCCCCCGCCCGCTAAAAATCACCCGCTAAAAAGATTGCAAACCTGCTCATCTATAAAATCTTTTTTTCCTCTTGCACCCCCACTCCCTCTCCCCCCCCCCACACCCCCACCACCCAAAAAAAGGTCCGATCTCCGGGGCGGTATAAACCCGTTTTCCGCTGTACTGTACGTGTTATTATCGTGATGTGACATTTCCTCGGACTTAGTCAATTGCGTTGATGCATGTGGTGAGATTCCGCTTGTTGATTGCTCTCGTCAAGCTCACTGTGTCTCCGCACACCCACCTGGCAACTCAACCCCCCCCCCCCACCCTATCTCACCCCCCACCCCACCCCAACGCCTAACCATCGCCGTCAAAGAGGATGTTTGTAAAGAATTATTACTGATTTCCCTTTTCTTTTCCCTCGAAAACAAATCTATATTCAGGTTGTTCCATTCAAATTGAGTGCAAATTGAGTACCGATTTAAACTCAATAAAGAGGTATTTTTACACAATGCACCCTGGTCTGGGACGTTTCACTTTGGGGATGTCGGGTCGTTGTCGGCTGTGGAGAGTTTGACGCTCTTTTGTTAAGTTTCCCGTCATTCGCTTTGAAGCGCTTTGAGGCGTCTAGAGGACGTGAAAAGCGCTATATCAATTGCAAGGATTATTATTATTATTATTATTATTATTCCTCGCAAGTTCTTTTTCCTTCCCCCCCAAACCACCCGACCTTCTCCCGCTCCTTCTATTTCTGTTAAAGTGCAAATAGGGGTGTGGGGGGTTGGGGGTGACGTGAGCAGAGGAAGGCAGAGGAGATCAGAGAGAGAGAGAGAGAGGTGATGGGATGTGAGGAGCCTGGCGAGGGCTGGGGTGATGGGCGCGTGGGTAAAGGATGTGGGCAGCGGAATTTTGGACCAAGACTTGACCACTGAGTCTACTCTGCTGTTAGTTCATGGCGACCGGGTACTTCAGATGTGTGTGTGATGGGGAAGGGAAGGGAAGGGCACGTTAAAGCGTATTAATAGGGCGATAAAAGTGATTAATGCTGCAATTAAACATTTGAGTAGAAAACATTCAGTCGGTCCACATTCCTGATCTCTTCATCTCGATAAGCGCAATCGCGCAGCGCACCAGGAATAAAGTTGGCTCTGGTATGTTTAAGCTGATTATTATGGCTGCTTTCATCAGGTTAAATAAAAGTGGCGTGTTTAGGCTGCTCTTGTAAGGCGAAGAGCTCTCTGTTTTGCCGCAGTGAACAGAAAGGAAGGGTGGACATGTCGTCCAAATAATGGACTAATCCTGTGACGATTCCTACAGGGGATGTGTCTCTCCCACGCTCCCCCACCCTCCCCCACGCACACACACACAACATTGTAATGATAATAATATAATACTTGCCTTTAACGTAATAATAATAATCGTTGCATTTGATACAGCGCCTTTTCACGTCTTCTAGACGTCTCAAAGCACTTCACAGAATACACCGTAAAGTGAATTGACTGTATATTTTATGGGCGAAACACACACACACGGATTAGCTCCCTCCAGCCCCCGCAACCCCCCACCCACCCACACCACACACACACACACACAAAGACCGTTACCCATTCACTTCTTCCGAGCCGAGGCCCCTGAGCTTTGGATCTGTGGCCTTGTGGACGGGGACACTTGGCTCAGTTAATACATTGGTCCCAAATCACATAATCACCGGGAGGTTCTTCGGAAAACGAACGCAGGTGAACTACACCAAGTGCTTTGAAAATAATTTGTGTTTGTGCAGAACCCCAGGGACGGGGGAAGGGTGGGGGGAAAGGGGTGGGGGGGGGGGGACGGCTATGCATTCCTCTCTACCTCACCGGCCGGCAAGCTGCGGGGCTCGGGCGTCCGATCCCGTCGGCTTCCCTTGTTCGAGAGCCTGAGATTGTTAATGTCATCGGTAATAATAACCCTTTTCGATTGATTCAGGGCCGATAAACATCAAAACCTCTCAAAACGCTTCGCTGGTGATTAACCGTGAGGTGCGTCGACCGTGTATGTTGTAGGCAAACGCAGCCCACCTCCCACAAACAGCGGTGAGGCGAAGGGATTTCATTCACAGTGGTCGGTGGGGACACCGGGGGGTGGGGAAAAAATTCCCTTTTCCTTTCCGACTGGAGCCTTAACGTTCCTCCTGAACAGAGATCAGACTGGTCGGCGGTTTCAGTTCTCACTTGAAGGACGTTGAGCTCTGACAACAAGGGGTTCCCGGGGGGCTGGAGAGGCGTTGAGAGCGCGAGCGAGAGAGAGAAATCAGGGCAACGATAGGGGAAAGATAACTGATAGCCTACTCGCGAAGTGAGTCAAAATAATACCCAGTACTGAACATCAGGTGTAGCCGGAGTCAATGCTTTGGGCTTCCAACTGACACACCGCTATGAGTTGTATACCCTGACAAATGTTTCCAGTTGGGGGGGTGGGGGTTGGAGAACAGGACAGGACAGACCTGACAGTCAACGGAAAGAGCAAAGCAGCAGATCAGAAATCACTGACCCCGGATACCAGTAAAAATACATTTAGATTTGAACCATCTGCTAGGCTTCCCTTTGATCCTGTCCACGTTTCCAACTCGCTCAAGCTTCCCCCCCCCCCCCCCCCCCACCCACCCCCAAACCTCCCCCCACCCCTCGCTTTGCCAGATTTCGGCTCTTACGAATTTCAACACCACGCAAATTAGCAGCAGCCAAAGAATTTACAAAGGAATTTACAGCCCAGAATAAGGCCCATTCGGCCCATCGCGTCCATGATGGCTCTTTTAGAGAGCGATCCTTCCCTAATAATACTGGTAATAATCCTAATAATAATAATAATCTTTACATTTGCTACCCACGCTTTTCGTGTTGAGAGGACGTCCTGGGGCGCTTCACTGGGGGAGAACGTAAAGTGGAGTGACTGTGTGTTTTGTGGGCGAACGATACAAAGGCAGAGAAAGGGAGAGACGGAGAGAGCGCTTTTCCCATTACGTAATTGCCAATGTGGG